CAGGGGACAGCAGCAATGTCCTAGAGATCTTCACAGGGACACACAGACCCTCTAGCTAACTCAGTCTACCTGAACAGGAATTTTCCGGAACCTGTCAAATTTTGATAAATTTATTGTGCATTTATTATTATCCTGGGTTCCCAAAGACACCCTCCAAAAACTCCCATTTCCTAGCTGGACTAGTTTGGTACTAACTCATCTACTTATCGAATGACATAACTTAAACTCTCTATCTGGTAGACGTCCTGCCGACTTTTTTCTCTGCTTTGGATAAAGTGGTGGGCATGAGTCTTGAGGTCTTTGTACAGGACACAGAAGGCCTGGTTCCCCAGAAGTGTTATGAAGAGCTAAAGAAACGCTCTGCAGACTTGGATGATGTCCAAGATCTTAACACAGATCTCCTCCTCTTGTTCTTGGGATGCCATCGTCTAAGAGGAGCTTAGGAATGTGTTAATAATTCTCTAGAGAAATCGGCCAGGATTACCTACTCATGCCTAATGAAGCTGTCATCCTCTGTTCCTCCCCGCTGTTCACTAAAGTCTCCCAAAGACTGGCTCATGAAGATGGATAGCGCTGTAAGCAGCACCCCAAAATTGGCACACCGTCAACCTAAGCAGACGCCAGCTTGTTCTGCATGCTACTCCACTTTTCATTATACTTCACAATAACGTGTTATTAAATGAAAATGAACTTGCCATTAAGGACCAGATACTACTTAATAAACATTCAGCAATGTCCCATGATTTAATTTTTAGTTTTTTGTTTTGTTTTTTTGTTTTTGTTTTGGGTTTTTTGTTTGTTTGGTTTTTGGTTTTTTGCTTTTATAGCTAGTACAGCAGCCATCTGAGTACATGTCACTCTGAATTAGATGGGATGGATTTTCTAGAACAGTCCTAAGTGGAATATATTCAGTAACACTTGATGTGTTTTAAAGTTCAATTTGAAAAATTCTGACTTTGAATTTATCTTTTGAAATTATCAATAAAATTAGGGACTGGGGATAGAGTGTCATTGGGAGACTGCCTAGCCAGCATGCAGGAGGACCTGAGGCAATCTCCAGCGCCACACGAATATTTATGCCAAATAAATGGGTGGTGGTACACACTGGTAATCCCAACACTCAGGAGGAGGAGGCAGCAGGAGGATTGGAAGTTCAAGGTCATCTTTGATACACAGTGAGTCTGAGGAAATTAGGTAAAATTGGAGTAGCCCCTCTCCTTTCCATAAGCTGAAGAATGAAATGAAATGGAAATTAAAGAGAGACTTGGGGTTGGTTTTTGCTATTCGTTTGTTGTTAGAGATTTGTTTTGCTTTTATTTATGTGTGTGTGCACCTATGTGTACAGGTGCCCTTGGAGGCCAGGAGGGGGCGCTGGATCCCCTATTTGGTGCTACAGGTGATTATGAGCTGTCTAATACAGGTGCTGGGAAGTGAATTCCAGTCCTCTGCAAGAGCAACAAGTGTTGACTGCTGAATCCTCTCACCAGCCCCCACTGGTTTATCTTTGTTTCAGTTTTTGAAAATGCATTCCTTTTTGATGTGTATGGGTGTTTTGCCTGCATGTCTGTCTGTGCACCGTGTGCATGCCTGGTGCTCTCAGAGACCAGATGTGCCAGATTCCCTGAGACTGCAGTTATAGAGGGTTGTGAGCTGCCATGTGGATGCTCGGAAATTGAATCTGGGTCCTCTGCAAGAACAGCCAGTGCTCTTTACCAACGAGCTTTCTCTCTGAGACATGGTCTTGCTGAGAAGCCAGCTCAGGCTGGTCTCAAACTCACAACCCACTTGCCTGGAATTACAGGTATGTGATACCCAACTCAACTGCTCTAGCGATTACTGATAATTCAAAATATCCCTCACTACAGTCTCTTGCTGTGGATATCGCTCTGTATAAATAAAATACTGATTGGCCAGTAGCCAGGCAGGAAGTATAGGTGGGACAAGCAGAGAAGAGAATTCTGGGAACAGGAAGGCTGAGTCAGAGAGACGCTGCCAGCCGCCGCCATGACAAGCGAGATGTAAGGTACCGGTAAGCCACAAGCCACATGGCAACTTATAGACTAATAGAAATGGGTTAATTTAAGATATAAGAACAGCTAGCAAGAAGCCTGCCACGGCCATACAGTTTGTAAATAATATAAGTCTCTGTGTGTTTACTTGGTTGGGTCCGAGCGGCTGCGGGACTGGCGGGTGAGAGATTTGTCCTGACCTTGGGCCAGGCAGGACCAGGAAAACTATAGCAACAGTCTCTTCATCTCCTTCTGTTTTCTTTTTGGAATAAAATAAAATAAAATATAAAATGAAGCCAGAAAACATACAGAAGAACATTTGTTACTATTAACCAAGACAGACATTGTAACATGGTTGCCTCTGCCTCAGATTGAGACGTAATAGAACAGATGGATGTCAAGTCTCTTATGGGTCCCCAGCCCACTCCACTCCGCCCACCCAGGGCTCGCCACCGACATGAATTTAACATGGAGAGTTCCAGGATACATTTTAAGACTGCTTCATCTGTTATTGTCTATAAATAATGTCTGGGTTTTCAGTCTTTTCGAGTCACTTACTACTCTCACAGATGAATTTAGAATCATCTTGTCCAAATCCCTGTAGAGTCCTTCCTCAGATTTTTATTGGAGATGCATTAAAGGAATGTATTACTTTGGGGAGAACTGACATCTTTATATTATTTGGTTTTCCCTCCAGGGACAAAGTATGTTTTTCATTTATGCAGGCTTTCATTATAGTGCATCCCTTTGTAAAATATTGTTACTTCTTTCTTGTAGATCCAGCACAAATTTTACTGTTATCTCTAGATAATTTATAGTTTGTGTTGATGTTGAAAAGAGGATTTCACTTTTGTATTGTATTATGATTTCTTTTGTTGTTATCATTACTTTTTTTGTTTAGCTTTTGAAACAAGTCTCATGTAGCATAGGCTAGCCTCAATGTCAATATGTAGCAGAGGATGGCCTTGAACTCCTGATCTTTCTGCCACTTCCCCAGTGTTAGGATCACAGATAAGCACTGCTATACCCAGCTCTACATTATAACTTGTGAGTCATTATTATTGATGTGCTAAAAAGACAGAAAAATTTAAAATACATATTCTGCATTTGGTCATATCACTAGATTCTTTCTATGTCTAAAATGAAAATTTTTCAATTGATTCCTTTCTGTTTTCTCTGTCTCTCTCAGTTTTATGAGACTGGGTTCCTCTGTGTAACAGCCCTGGCTGTCCTGGAACTCGCTCTGTAGCCGAGGCTAGCCTCTAACTCACAGAGATCTTTCCTATCAGGCCTCAGTTTTCTCATCTATAGAATGGGAAAACAGGGTTGGGCGGTGGTAGCACACACCTTTAATCTCAGCACTCGGGTGGCGGAGGCAGGTGGATCTCTGTGAGTTCAAGGCCAGCCTGGTCTACAGAGCGAGTTCCAGGACAGGCTCCAAAGCTACACAGAGAAACCCTCTCTCAGAAAGAAAGAAAGAAAGAAAGAAAGAAAGAAAGAAAGAAAGAAAGAAAGAAAGAAAGAAAGAAAGAAAGAAAGAAAGAAAGAAAGAAAGAAAGAAAGGAAGAAAGGAAGAAAGGAAGGAGAGAGAGAGAGAAGAACGGGAAAACAGATTATATTGACTTCATGGCATTGTTATAAGTAATGATGATTAGGTTGTATTATAAGTAAAGTGCTGTTTTTAGTACATCATGAATATTTGATAGGGAGTAACCATTGTTTTTAAGACTTTAGCCATGATATGTGCATGGTAGAGTATGTATGCCTGTAATCCAAGAAGTTGGGAGGCAGAGGCAGGCGGATCAAGGATTCAAGGTCCTTCTCAGTGCAAGAAACCCTGTCTCAAGAAAACAAAGCAGGAAGGGCTGGAGAGATGGCTTGGCCATTAAGAATGATGGCTGCTTTTCCAGAGGACCCAGGTTCAATTGCCAACACCCACATGGTAACTCACAGCTATTTGCAACTCCCGTTCCAAGGGATCCAAGCCACCTTTTGATGAGTGCATGCACATGGTATGCAGACATACATGCAGGTAAAACACTCCTACACACAGAATAACAAAGAAAACATGAAACAGACAAACAACCCTGACATTGCCAAGGCACTTGCCACACAAACCAGATGACCTAGAGCACTGGAATTACAGGCATGAGCCACCAGGCCTGACTTCAGCCTGGGCCTTTTTATTTATTTATTTGTTTGTTTGTTTGTTTTTCTGAGACAGCTTTTCTCTGTGTAGTTTTGGTGCCTGTCCTGGATCTCGCTCTGTAGCCCAGGCTGGCCTCGAACTCACAGAGATCCACGTGACTGCCTCTCCAGTGCTGGGATTAAAGGCATGCGCCGCCGCCCCCGCCTCCGCCGCCGCTGCCACCACCGCCACCACCACCACCACCTGGCAGGTTTTTAACTGTCTTTAGTCCTGTCCAGTTATTAGATGTGTCTGACTTTGTAAAACTAAGTAAATAATGTTTTCATTAAGATAGGGCTGGGTGTAGTGGTGCACACCTTCAATCCTGGCACTCAGAGGCAGAGGCAGGTGGATCCCTGTGAGTTTGAGGTCAGCCAGAGCTGCAAAGTGAGATCCTGTCTCCAAAAAAAAGCAGATTGATTTAGTCTTTATTGGTGGAAATATTAGGGCCACTCCACGTAGTTAAAAGGGAGGTTTATTTTGTAGGGTAACTTACAAGTGAAGGGACAGGTTACATGGTCCAGGAAAGACGTAGTACAGTCTGGCGGTGTTCTGGAAAACTCTGCTGGGTCTACCTCCAGAGTCCAGGGTCCAGGAACCAAGAGAGCCGGCACATCCAGATCTCGGATCTTCAGGGTTCTGTCTCGGCCCTGCCTCGTAGCCGTGACAGTTACCAGAAGCCTCAATGGAAGTAGTACTTCCAGGTCAAAGCTGGAACAGTTACCCACTACAAGTCTTAACAACACAAATCGATTTTTAGGAATAATCTTATCTTTTTTTTTTTTTTTCAAATTGCACATGTGTGGATGTTAGAAGACAACTTGCAAGAGTCAGTTTTCTCCTTCGGCCATGTGGGTCCTGGGATTCGAACTCAGGTCATTGGGCTTGGCAGTAAGCACCTTCACCTACTGACTCATCATCCCAATCCCTTTATTCTTTCCCTTTATCAGGAAGAAATACATTGTCTCTTCCAGCTCTAACACTCTATGACTACCATCGATCCAGAAAAAAAAATGTAAACTCCCATTATGAAAATCACCATCCAGCCATTCAGAGCCGGTTCCAGACCTAAAGCTAGCAGGACCAGGTCTCTCCCTTGGGGTAGTCCATTCGGCAGGGAGTTCTGTGGTGGGCAGGGAATCCAGGCGCTCCACAGAGAAGACATAACCCCGTGGAGCCTCATGTAAACAATGAGGCTAGGGATGGCATTGGGGTGGGTCCTCACGTTAGGGATAGGTAACAGCAGCCCTATTCAACACCATTAGGAAGTTGCTGAGCTGGCAAATCGAAAGGTTACAAAGCCTGCAGCTGCCACAGATCAAGCCAACCTTGAGGTCAGAAGACTGGAAAATTAGGGTGGGCCCATGGAGAATTCTGAGAGCAGAGGTCAGCCACAAGCCCGGGGTAGAAGTCAGAATGACTAGCCTGAGGCTAAGGAACCTACCATTCCTAAAGCTCTGGTGGGAAGGTGGACGCCTGAAAGCCTCCTCAGTGAAGAGACCGGGAAGGAGGGTCCAGTTGTTTAGGGCCGAGCTCCTCACCCGCTTGCCCTGGCTGCTCAGGCTCACCTTAAACTCCAGCACCCAGGGCTGGGGGCCTTGCCCTGTGTGAGAGGAAACTCAGAAATAGTTGTTGCCTCAAACTGACCTCAGTGAGTTAAAACCCCAGGGGTCATCACACAGAATAAACCTAGTCTCTGAACAGATGTTTCCCCGCCCCCAGGATACGCAGGAAGTGTCTCCAGAAGTGAGCAGAAGGGCGGTCTCCACAGGAGCAGCTCTGACTTAGTCAGATGGTGAACAGGGATGGAGAACTCGGACACGGATGCCTCCATGACTTGCTCTTCCCAGGCTGGCTGCTTTCCAAAATACCCGGTCAGCTCAATATGCTACCCTCACCACTCCCGATCTCTAACTGGCCCCTTCTAGCACAGAAGCTGACAAAACCCACCACGAGGTATGAAGACTGCCATCATACTTTGTCTCCCTTCCCAGACACTTTAGTCTTTTATAGGCAGAACAATGATGAGTTTGGGTCCTCAAGGAAACGCTGTGGAATAGTCACAGGGTAGTGGGATCTTACCTGAGGGGTGGCCAATTGGTCCTCAGTGTTTCCAAATTCCGTATTTTCAAACTCACTCGTACTAGTTTTTTTGTTTTGTTCTGTTGCTCTTGCTGCTGTGTCAAAACACCTGACAGACACAATGCAAGGAAGGAAGGGTGTATCGTGGCCCACACTTTGAGGGTAGAGTCCATCATGGCAGGGAAGGCATGCTGTCAGGAGCGTGAGGCAGCTGGTCATGTTGCATTCCCAGGCAGGGAGCAGAGAGAGATGAACACTGGTGTTCAGGGGTCGTCCTCCTTTTTATTCAGTCCAGGACCCCAGTCCATGGAACAGTGTCACCCAATTCAGGGTGGGTCTTTCCTCCTCAGTTGCCTTTCTGGAAATATCTTTATAGATACACCCAGAGTTACATTTCCATGGTGATTCCAAGTCTACTCAGTTGTCAATAAAGATGAACCACCAGAAATACTGAGTAAAATGTAACTCTGAACCCAACGCCTAGCAAGGACTTCATGGTTGTGCAAAGACCTACACAGAGTAGGTGTTTTTTGGTTTTTTTGGTTTTTTTTTATTCAACCAATGGGCACTCTTTTAACAGAGGCTGAGTAAGGGACACTCTTGCACCTCAGTTTCCTCTCCCATCCTCTGAACAAGCATCCTTTCTGCTGTCTAGACAGCGTCAGATCTTTACATTTCTGTGTTCTTCCTGCTTAACTGGCTCCCAGCCAGGCACAGGGCCACATCCACCTTTGATACCCGCAATCCAGAGGCAGAGGCAGATCACAAGAGCCAGGCCGGGATACATGGTGTGACCTTGTCTCAAAATAGTAACAATAATTAATAATAAAAATCAACAAAAATTAAAAATTAATGATTACTAATTAATAAGATAAAATGCACCACGGGCAGCACTCTAGTCCCACAAATCAGTGAGTCACAATATATATTAAATGTGTGTTTAAATAGAAACCCATCTAAAGTAAGATTATGTTCTGATTGGTGGATGAGAACTGTGACCAGAGGTGGGTGGGAAGTATTCCCAGGGTTCCCCGGGAGTGAATGTTGAGTTCTTCTTGTGCCTCTACAGCATGTGACTACCTGAATAATGGGAATTGACTGTCCAGGGCCTGTATCCAGATACTGACTCGTTCTAACACTATCCCTAGGAAATGTTGCAGGGGCCTATTGACTGTTGCAAAGAAAAATAAAAATCTCTGGAAACATTTTCAGGATCTTTATTTCATTTTTATAGGCACAGTCCCAGTTCTGCTTGACAAGTTCTGAATGTGATGGTCCACTTAGGACCGGATGTTCTGTTGCAGAAACAGATAAAAGGCAGCTGTGCAGCAATACTACCTCGCTGTTCTTACGGCACATCTCACTGTGGATTTCCTACGCGGCCGCCTACGCAGGAAGCCAGGGCAGAGGTGAGTGGACAGAGGTTCACGGAGGGGTCGTCAGCCCCACTCCAGTAGATTGCAGGGAGTTCACCAGGTCCTAGCAGAGCGAAACTTTTCTTTGGCATTTAGTGTGGACTTTTTCTGTCTCTGTTGTGAAACCATCAGACTGGACTTGGGACCTAACACCACAGTGACAAGTTTCGATTCAACAGCAGCAGGCGATGGAGGTGGGTGCCAGGCAAAGGCTCCTGCTGACTGAGTGGACGCAGCCGGGACACAAAGCCTGGGTGATGTGTAGACCTCTTCTCAAACTTCTCTTGCTGTGAGGATTTGCAGTCAAATGTTAGCGGATATACCGAGGCTTCAGTCACCTGAAATCTTTCCTCATGGCTATGGGCTATAGGCTGTAATGACTTCTAGGAAGCCATTCCAAGCCACAATGTCAGTCCCTTTAAGCTGGATTTTTCTTTTCAGTTCAGTTGAGGTAAATTTCTTTCCTTTGTGCTTAAATTTACGGGATAAATAACTGTTTTGTTCCCCAGGCTCTTAAATGCCACATGTTCTGAAGGCCACATCCCAGACACTCCTCTCTTAGAGAAAAGAGTTTCAAGGCCAGTCAGCTAGGCCTTCCTGTGGGGTGGAGGGGGAGCTTGCTGCCTGCCTCCCTCAGGGCCTCCCAAGCATCCTTCACATCCAGTTAGAGTGTTGGTGGCCATTCCCGGGAGGAATTCACAACTGGGGACCAGACCCGTGTCACACGCCTTCCGGTTTCCTACTTGCAGACACCCTTTCTCACACAGGGGTCAAGAGTGGGGCCTCACAAATGAGCGTTTGAGATGAGCCGTTAGAAATGTTTTCTTAGCAAGTCTTTTCTCTCCCCTGAGACTGAGAGAGTTTGGTCCCCAGACCTTTCAATCCTTCAGCAGATGTCATAAACCACAGCTATGTCCCATATTAAAGGACACAGAAGTGACTAACACTGTCCATTGGCCTCAGCTGGCCTGGGCAGTCTGCCAGGGCGGGGGAGGGGGGAGGAGAGGGGGAGGACTCTGCCTCCAGCCCTGAGAGCCTGGGAGAGCATAGAGGTCCTTCCTGGCTTGTATCCCCAACTAGTGCTCAGAGCAGGCAGAGGATCCAGGCACAGCCTTGTGCTGGACTCCAAAACCGACTAGTGGAGGTACATGTAGAATTAACACAGTCCGGGTTTTCTTCTTTTCAAGTTACTAATTGTTTCGCAAACATTTTCGGCATATATGCAAGTGTGCGCGCGCGTGTGTGTGTGTGTGTGTGTGTGTGTGTGTGTGTGTGTGTGTGTGTGTAAGAGTAGGGGGTTGGGACTTTGCAAGAAGGTATATGGATGAGGCTGGGTGCTCAGCTAAACAAGTGGGGAGCTTCCTGTCATCTCCCAGCCAGACCCTCCCTGCAGCATGCTCCAGGTCAGTGATGGACAGGCAGAGACGGCAAAGAGCAATGAAGGCCTGAGGAGAAACCACTCAGCGCGTTCCAGGGCCTTCTCTCCACGATCACCAGCCTTGCTGCACACTTGCCAATATTCCCAGTACAGCCCAGCCGTGCAGGGTTCGAGCCTCTTGGATCACACAGGGGTCCACAGGTGCGGCCAGATGGTACGGAATGGGCACAGTCTGGGGTGGCATCCCCAGCACTGAGAGGCCCTCCTCTCTGCTGCATCCTGCTCAGGCTTCTGCCACCTGACACTCTCTCTTCACAGCTTCTGCCTTTTGACTCTAAATTAGCAAGATTTGCATTCTTGCAAGATGCAAATGCTTTCAGGGTGAGCGAGTACTTTTATGTGGTGGGGAGAGATGGCTCAGTAGTTGAGAGCACTTGTTGTTCTTGCCGAGACCCAGGGCATGGTCCCCAGCAGCCACATGGTGGCCCACAGCCATCCAGGTGCGCGCACGCGCACACACACACACACACACACACACACACACACACACACACACACGGTGCACATAAAATAAATAAAATTTTAAACACAAATCAAGTGCTGCTTATGATTATGAATACAGAAAGCCCCAGATCCAAACACCAAATGGGAACATTCTACAAATCATTTGTTTTCTTTTCATTTGATGAATTTTATTTGCTGGAATTTTCATATAAAATGAATCAAGAGTGTTTTAAAAATATTTTAAACAATACTTTGAGAGGAAATTTTACCCCTTGGTACACATCTCTCCTCCCCATATACCGTCCAGCAAGCACAACCATGCTGGCGATGTGTGGCTGTCTTCGGGGCTCCTGTGTGCACACCATGTGTACATATGTGTTCACACTATGTGTACATGTGTATGCACACTTCTGCTTTAACAAAGACAGCACAGCTCTCCATGTACTGCTGTATAGCTTGCTTATTTTCCATCCCCTGCATTAGAAATCTCTTTTCTGATAAAACTTTTCTTAGTCTGTCCATATTACCTGAGTTTCAAAAGTTAAATTTGATTGGCTAGTCAGGGTGGTGACTAGCCTGAAATTTCAATACTTGGGAGACATAGACAGGAGGATTGAGGTGAGTTTAAGGCCAGTTTAGACTACATAGCAGAATGATGTCTCAAAACAAATCAAGAAACAGAGGCCAGCCAGAGGCTAAGAAGGTAAAGAAGCTTGCTGAGTAAACCTGGTGTCCTGAGTTTAATCCCTGGCACCCATATAATGGAGATAGAAAAGAACTTATTGCATGAAATTGTCTTCTAGCCTCCAACTTCACACCATGGCACACATGCACACATTTACACACACACACACACACACACACACACACACACACACACACACACGGCGGGGGGGGGGGGGGGGGGCATACCTTTAATCCCAGCATTCAAGAGGCAGAAGCAGGCAGATCTGTGACTTTGAGGCCAGGCTGATTAAGTTCCAGGCCAGCCAGAGTCATGTAGTGACAGGAGCGTACCACGTCTGTCTTAATTTTAACTAATTCCGATGCCAACGTCAATAGTTACAGATGGTTCCTGTCTTTTGTATTGGCAGATGTGTTTCTAGAAATTGTGGAATAGATCATCTATTACTAGAAGGGAGACAGAGACTTTGAAACCAGATTTTTGAACCCCATAATTCTTCCATTTTCTGGCCCATTACTTTGGACAAGCTACTCAAAGTGTCCAAGCCACAATTTGCTTATCTGGAAGGTGAGAATAATAACAGATAAACTTATTGGAGTGTTCACAAGGGTCAGTGAGTTAACATGTGTAAGTCAGTTGAACTAGGACTTAAGCAGGTAGCGGATCTCTGTTAGAAAGTGATTTATTTGTAGTCTGGCATGGTGTTGGCACACATTTTTGATTCCAGCATTAGGGAGGCAGAGGCAGACAGATTCCTGAGTTCAAGGCCAGCCTGGTCTACAGAGTAAGCTCCAGGACAGCCAGGACTACATAAGGAAACCCTGGCTCAAAAAAAAAAAAAAAGAAAGAAAGAAAACAAAAGAGAAAGAAAAAAAAGTAATTTGTTCTAAGACTAGGAATGGAGAGAAGAAAGCCCGGTGCTGAGCGGGGAGAGGCTGGGGGTGGGGGGATGGGGGAGTGGTGGGGGGGGGAAGTGGGGGGGGGGGTCAGCTGACTTGATGGAAGGACACTATCACGTCAGCAAAGGTGGGTCCTGAGTGCCGACAAGAGCCTCTCCATCCTGCTTACTTACACCTCACTCTGGCCAATAGTTCCAAGGTAGGGGAAAGGAAGGGCAGGCAAGGGACGTTCCGCCTCTTCACTTTTCCCTCCCTGGAGGACACGGGTCCCCTTAAGTCCAGGTCCAGCTTGATTCCCCTGCCTCGGGCCAGGCAGGACAAAGGCCTGCTTCAGGTCACCCCTCCCGTGCCTGCAGCAGGCATGGCGTTCCCAGCCCTCGGTGCCATCCTTGTGCTGAAGCGGCGCGAAGGCTAATTCCAATAAGGCTGGCCCAGAATGGCAACCTCACGCAGAAGCAGGAGCCCTCCTCCCGGGGAAACAGTCAGTACAGTGCAACCAATCCGTGAAACGTAGGAAACCTTTTTCTCGGGGGTTCTTTACCGACTTCCCGATTCCATCAGCCCACCTACCCACACGACACGGAGACCTGGAGCCTGGGGTACGTGTGCTTCTCTGGCTCTTGTCATGACCTATGACACCAGTTGGCCACATTTCTTGACTCACTTTCTCTCTAACCTCTGCCTGTGAGTGGTTCATCAAAGAATGAACGACAGGCGGCTGAACAGACCCTTGAGAGTTTGTATTTTTCTTCTTTTTCTAAGATTTATTTATTTGAATTATATGCATGAAGGTTTTTCCTGTATGTATGTATGTGCACCGCATGGGACCCTGAGAGGTCAGAGGAGGGAGCTGGTTCCCCCCGGAACTGGAATGATTGTAAGCCACCATGTGGGTGCTGGGAAGCGAACCCTGGGTCCTCTGCAAGAACAGTAAGTCCTCTTAATGGCGGAACCATCTTTCCAGCTTCAAAAATCCGTATTCTAATCTACATGTTCTCTAAGCGTATTAAGTTGCTCTACATTTTTAAGCAGGATTGAATCATCTATTTGTTTTGCAGTGCTGGGGACAGAACCCAAGCTCTCATTCATGCTAGGCAAGCACCTAATCACTGAGCTACATGGCCTCAGACCATGATCAAGGATTTACAATAGGAAAATGTGATCATCTTAGGCTTGAACTGGCACAGGTCGGGGAAAGTGCCCAGCAGTGCATGCTGTCTTAGGGAAAGGCACTATCTCCAGCCCTGGCCATCAAGACAAGCCCCCGACTTCAATGCCAAGCTCTAGCGTGAACCTTGACTTCCTTTTTATTTTCAAGGAATCAGAGAAAGGCCTACTTTAGGTTTCCAGGAACCTGGAAGAACGCATCCTGCCCACCGGCCAGGGCTCTTTTGGTAAGATGACCCCTTTTAGCCAGTGGCAATGGAGCAGCTAGGAGGCCACCAGACAGCCTATTTCCCAGCATGGCAAGATGCTGTTGCTCTTCCTGCAGCTTCCAGAAAGGCCTGCCCACAGAAAGGTCCCGAGCAGTCCTCTTCCTCAGCGCCAAACGCATCCCTCCGGGCCCTAGTGACAGTTCTGATCTCCTCCGCTGCCTTTGAGTGGGGATTTCCTTTCATGGCCCCCCTCCATTCAGAGGCTTTTTGGACGCCTTCTGTCCCGGTGCAGTGAAGCAGGGCTGCCTCTTTCCCACCCAGTGTCCCAAAGGGAAATGACATTCACCAAGAATTTGGACAAACTTTTTTTTTTTTTTTTTTTGGAAGAAGAAATGGTGTGAAAATTGCCCGGATCCTTGTTCCCTCAAAGCATCTCAGAAGCAAACTGCAGGAAGTGGTGGATTCCGACATAAAGGACATCGTTTGCCTGCCTTATTATCTCATTTTCCAGCAGGGCTGACAGGACAGCTGCCTGTTATTACCGAGCACACCAGGAAGTGATTTGCTGCCAAACAGAAAAGAGGAGGAGAGGGATTAGCGTGCTCACGCCACACAAACGGACCTCTTGCACCTGGTAGGCACGCAGCTCCAGTCCTCGTCTTCATAGGGTCCGGATCTTAAATCCCATTTACAAAGAAACAAAAACAACCCCAAAAGGCGCCTTAATGTCATTGTAATTATGATAAGCATCAGCAACCATTTTTCGGTTTTTGGTCTCGATTAAATGGACGGGCGGTAGCCCTCCGTCTCATCGCGCTAATCTCTTACTTGGGTTCTGTGATGTGGGGAGTTTACCCTTCCAAGTTGCGGACCTAATGGGTTCCGCGCGATGAAAGATCAGTGACAGCTTAACCCTCCTCCATCGCAATGGAGATCTCCCTGGAAGGTTGCCGAGCACCATCTGAAGTGACATTTCAAAGAAAAGAAGTGATTTCCTTCCGTTTCTCAATTTCTAATGCACGGGGGAAGGGGAGCATGCTCCTTGTGCGTTGGCGGCGGAGTCAGACATCACGGGCTCACAGCCAGAGAAGACACAGAAGGGTGACAGGACACCTTACATGGCCCTCTTGTTCACAGCAAAAGTCACTTCAGTTCCCTCAGGCTGATCCCCCGGGAAGCCTGCACAAGAGGAAGAGAGTCTTGGACCCTTTAGCACCACTGATAAGTTTTATTAAATGAATCTTTGAATTTAAAAAAAAGAGGAAATCTTGGGGGCTGGGGATGTAGCTCATTGGGTAGAGTGCTTGAAACCCTGGGGTTGATCCCCAGTACCACATAGAGCTGACATGCTGGACCTTGCCTTTAGTCCCAGTAGGAGGATCAGAAATTCAAGGTCATTTTTTAGTGAGCCCCCACAACCATCAAAATAGGCCCGTTAATTGAAACAGAATTTAGATACAGCCTTTTTACTCAATTGTCTGGTTACTCAAACTGATCGGTAACACAATTTTTGAATTTTTGAAAACCCAGCCAAGGGCACAGAGGGATCATGAAACATGGAGCAGAGAGGTGCTTAGAGAATTTCAGAGTCCTCTAATATCTAGAGTGGTGAAGGGATGCCCCAAGTTCATGAGGCTACATCTTAGGGTGACTCAGGGGCCCTCTCTCCTTACCTACTAACTGAAATACTGAGGACTGAACCTAAGCTGTGAGGCTAGGCTAGATGTTCTCTGACTGCACCTTTAAAATTTGTATTTCGAGGTAAGTTCTTGCTGAATTGTCCAGGCTGGCCTCCAATCTGCTGAGTAATCAAGACAAGTCTTGAACTGTCAATCCTCTTCAGTTCCCCAAGTAGCTGGGATTACAGGCATGCGACATGGTAACCAGCTTTGAAGTGTTTCCGAACACCAATGATGCTCACCTTTGTTTTTGTTTTTTAACATTCATTATTTATTTCGGGGGGGGGGGGGGGGGGAGAGGGGGTCACATGTGTACGATGACGTGGAGGTCAGAAGATAACTGGGACCCAGTTCTTCCTTCCATCATCTGGGTCTTGGGGATTGAACTCAGTTTAGAGGCAGGCACCTTGACCCACTGAGCCCTCAATTTTGAAATTTAAAGCCAGAAGTTACCAAATACCAGGCTACCTCTAATAAGGTACTGCATTCCACTTCATCCGGACATTGATATGTTTCAAGGAAGAGTTAATGTGCTTGATTATAGAAAGCACAGGGGGACCTTACTGGGTCATTTATATACACGGACCCTAGAGCCCTCCCACAATCTGGATTACACTTCTGGGTTACACCGGCACCTGGTTTCAGGGGGTTATATAAACCATTGAATCCCTAGCAACCACCACTAACTGTCAAACATTTGCGCCACACAAGAGCCCCCCTACAACTAGCCACCATCCCACCATGCCCACACATTCCACTCGGGCCCACCTCCATTTCCTCATCTCCCCAGTTTCTCCCATCCTCCTCCACTGTAGGTTCCCTTCCCTTGTTCCTGCCCCCTTCCCACAGGAAGTCACATCTTCTTGTACCTGGCTTCCTTCGGTTCTCGCTTCAGACCCTCCCAACTGTCCTACGTACTTAGGGAAGTTAGAGGCTAGGGAAAAGCCAAGCCTGCCTGTTTGCGGGTGCATGAAAACGTCTAGCAAAAAATTCAACTTACTAACTGGTCCCTGAGTTTCTGATCACGAGCCTTTACGATGCTGCTTAGCAACCCATCTTGCCCCAAATACTTGGACCATAGATGGTTCAGGTTTTTATTTGTGCTTTTTTAATACTTGCAGTTCTTACTGGCTGAGGATCCCTAATATGAAAATCTAAAGTCTGAACTTCTCGTGTGGGTGAAAAGGTTTTGAGTTTCAGAATATTCTGGACTTTGGATTTTCAGATCAGGGATGTTCAACTTGTGTGTTTTTGTGCATTCCCTCTCCGATTACGCCACAGTAGACGTTCACACTGCCTTCTCCCTGCCTAGACTCCCAACACCCTCCTCTCCCCTTGACTCTTAGCTCTTTGCTGCTTAGACCTCTGTTTCTGAGCCAAGGACTTCCACAGACTCCCACAGCTACATTTACCCGCTCACCACTCCCTTCATCCTCCCAGCCAGTCTGTGTTGGAGTGCTGTATGCACCCCCTCATTTACTCAAGCCAGTCTCCCCCACAGCTTTCCCCCCTCTTCCTGCACTGTCCATGACCACTCAACCAGACCCTTCATACACCTGGACCATCAGCAAACAGCCACTTGGTGCCCTTCAGATCTCCTCTTCCCGAAGTCTTTTCCATCTCACCCCAAGCTCTGCGGAGGGCCTCTGTCCCTGCTGCTCCCTTTGCCTTGGCCACTCTCGACACCCACAGGGTGGTCAGTCCCTTCTTGAGTTTTGAATCTTCATCCGGCGTCGGCTTTAGGTCTACCTTACCCTACTGCGGCTGCTTCCAGTCCCTCACACCCTTCCACACTGCAACTCGAATCCTGCAGCACTATTTTTTTTATGGCTTGTAAGTAATTAATTGTGCAGTTCTGGGGATCAAACCCAGGGCTCTGCACATGCTAGACAAGTGTTCCACCTTGAACTACATCCCCAGCCCTGCTCCACTGTGTTTAGCACATAGAACCTCTAACACAGCAAATGCTTACTTTCATTTATTTATTTATATTTATTTATGTATTTATTTATGGGGCAGGGTGTTTCCAGACAGGGTTTCTCTGTAGCCCTTGGCTGTCCTGGAACTCACTCTCTAGCCCAGGCTGGCCTTGCACTCACAGAGATCCACCTGCCTCTGCCTCAGGAATGCTAGGATTAAAGGCGTGCGCCGCCGCCGCCACCACCGCCCGGATCATTTATGTTTTGCTTTTTTTTTTTTATTGTTGTTGTTTTCGTTTGTCGGTTTCCACCTTATTTGGCCTCTTGCTCTCTCTTGAACTGTCACCACACAGGACCTTTATCCTGTTCGCCCTAAACGCCCCGACCAGTGCTTGCAACACACTGAGCACTCAATTCAAGCTGAAAGACTGTGATATGTTACAAAACAAGAAAACGAAACTATGCATTGCCTTTTATATTATCCTTATTTTACACAGGAAAAAACTGAGGGAGAGAGGAGTGTGAAAACCATGCCAGGAATCGAGTCACAAGCCACAGAGAGCCCCGCAAGCCGTCTTCCTGACTCCACAGGCTGCTAGCCCAACAGCCATCCCACAACTTGTGCAAGGCTTCCCTGAGGTGCTGCTGTGAGGTTTGGAATAAGCGTGTTGAATTAGATCCACCATAACTAAGCCACCATTCAATGCCACGATGTCTTACCATGTCCCCTTGGGAGACACGGCAGCATGGTTGTTTGGATCTAAGATCAAATGCTGCTCAATTTACTTACTCCACAGAATAATAGACCCCCAACCCTGCCTGTTTGCAAAGGGGTGGCTTTTCGTTCATTTACCCACTCATTCACCCCTTGAGGGAGCACAGGCCACTGAGGCTATTCTGTGGGCTTCTGAAATGGATGCAGGCAAAACCAGAGTTCCTTTTAAATGACCATGAAACAAAAAGATGGCCACATCATTTTTGGAACAAAACCTAGAGGGAGAAGATGATCTTTCCTTCCACTCCCTCAGCTTGCTGTCCCTGGGTCCCCATTCCCACAGAAGGAGCTGTGGGTTGCGGCTGCTAGCCTGCTAATTCCGAACACCCCTGCGCTGGAATTTGGAAGGAATGTGTGCAGTGCTCAATACAAAGCTCATTTGGCTTCAGGGACCATTTTAATTAAATTAATTATCTCTAGAAGAAACACTTAAAGCTGTTTAGGCCTAAACAATAGGTACTTGTTCTCAGTTCTAATATGAGCCCGTTGTTCAGAGCATCCTTTTGGCGAGTTGAGGACAATATCTTACCAGATACTTAAAAAGGCATACACCCCATGCTCTGTCGTGCACAGAGACATTTACAGACAGCTGACAGATGCCCTGCACACCTACAAACACACTCCCCTTGGCCGTTCATCCCACCCTTCTCAGTTGGTCTGTCTTGCATTCTCAATAGTCCCCAGGACTATCTTCCGCTTTTTGGGAAGGGAAAAAAAAAAAAAGGCAGAAGGGTGAATGCAGCATCCCTGAGGCATTGGAGAGCATCACCTCTGTGGCCTGTGCCCCTCCTGCCGCCTTCCCCCCTCACACACCCTTCAAGAGCACCAGGCTGATCGTCAACTGGATGGAGGCAAAAGAAAGGAGTGACGTGGCTCGCTCCTGTCATTCTAGGACCTTTTTTTTTGCAATGGCAAAGCAAGGAATTGAAATAAACTAGCATCCTTCATCCCACACCTCATTCCCTGGTCCTTGCAGCTGGCGACTGTCCCTGGGAACAAGCCAGCAGAAGAGCCTCCTTACCCCGAGAGGCATTTTTCAGAGCCATGCACTATCGGGGAGAGTTGCTTTTGTGAGGGCTTTCTGTGGATGTTTTCCTGAGTGGAGACCTTTCTGTGTAACTCCATCCTCATGCCTCAGCTCCCCAAATGGCTGAGATTACAGGCATGTCATTACAAGTCTGAATTATGCTGTTTTTGTTGCTGTAGAAGCTCACTCTTAAGCCCACACTGGACTGGAACTCATGATCTTCCTACCTCAGTCTCCCAAGTTTGGGAATGACAGGAAAAAAAATAGCTCTCTGCATCGTGTTTTATTAAGTTCTCCTTGAAGGGAGAATAGAATACAGCAACACTTCCTCCCGGGACCCTACATCCTTGATATAGTAAACTGCATCAAAGTCCCTGGACTCCTCAGCAGAGTTGTGAGTGGTCATGCTGGGCCGAGCTTTGGCCTCTGTTCTTTGGAGTCTTTTAATAAGTGACCAGAGAGCAGAGAGCAGTGAAGAGTCGAAGAGTTGATTGATGCTGGCAGGATTGGGTTTGCCAAGATGAGTGCAATGCTAAGGGGTGGAGCTTTTCTAATCAGGTTTCCATAATATTACTGTGCACTTGGTGTTGGGGTGATGGCCAAAGGCCAGGCTGGCCCCTTCTAGCTTCTACTGTTCATAGTTATCCCTCTACAAGTTGGATGTGGCCGGGCGGTGGTGGTGCATGACTTTAATTCCAGCACTTGGGAGGCAGAGTCAGGCGAATCTCTGTGAGTTCGAGGCCAGCCTGGTCTACACAGCGAGATCCAGGACAGGCACCAAAACAACACAGAGAAACCCTGTCTGAAACCCCCCCACCAAAAAAAGTCAGATGTGGTCTGCAGCATAGTGGTACCTCTAGGATGCTCTAACTAAAATGGTAAATAATAACAATCTCAGAATTATTTTAATTTGCTTTCAATATATTCTAATTCATTAATAACAGACAGATGTGTGAGTCAAAACCTTGTCACAGGGACAGAATGCCTAACATGCACAACTGGAGAGGAAAGATTTATCTTGGTTCCATCTCAAGGTTTTGGTCCATCCTGGCAGGGAAGGTATAATCAATGACCTTCTGATAGTGTGATAAAACACCATAACCAAAAGCCACATATGCGAGAAAACATTTATTTGGTCTTCCAGTTCCAGAGGGATAAAGAGTCCGTCATGGTTGAAGGCATGGCAGCCAGGGCATCTACTGAATGAATGGTGGTCACATCTGAGAGATCATCTCTTCAAATGCAAACATAAAACAGAGAGAAAACTGGAAGTAGGGTGAGGCTATTTCCTCTCAAAGCCCACCCTCAGTGACATAGTTTTACCAGCAAGGCCACACCCTCTCAACCTCCCCAAATGGTACCACCAATTGGGGACCGAGTGTTCGAATACCTGAGCCTGTAGGGACCCTTCTCGTTCAAAGCACCACAGGGGGGAACAGGAGACCAGCCAGGAAGCACTGGACCAAAGCAGAACCAAATCCAGCATGGCAGAAAATTGTGGAGCTTGTGGTATTGTGGTTGGGTCTGCAACATGTTTGGGCATGCGCTCTTACGGCCTTGTTTACAGCCCACGTGGCCTCTTCTTTTAGCTGGCTCCCCTCCTTGCCCGCAGCTTGACTTGACAGACAGTCCATGGACCTGGCATCTCTAACATCCCGGGGCCTCAATTCCTAGTTAGGCTTCACCCTCATAGCTTCACTGCTGTCTTGGGGGCTACCTGCAGAGTTTCTGACCCCATCACACATTACTTGGTTTTCACGGCTTTCCTTTGGAATCTGGTTGGAGACCCCTATGACTTTGCAAGGCGTGCATTCTGTATACCTGCAACACTAGCATCATATGGGTAATGCCCAAGTCTATCGTCAGACTCAACACTATCCAGACTGTGGTCATATTTTATTTGTGCTCTAACAAATAAAGCTTGCCTGCGGATCTGAGGACAAAGCCAGCCACTATATTAAACATAGAGGTCAGGCAGTGGTAGCACATGCCTTTAATCCTAGCATTTGGGAGGCAGAGATTTATCCGGATCTCTGTAAGTTCAAGGCCACACTGGGAACAGAGCAAGTTGTGGTGTCACACACCTTGAATCCCAGCACTAGTTACCTATAGAGGTCTGGAGGTCTGGACAGACAGGAAGTGATAGAGCTGGGCAGAAAGAGGAAGTGATGTAGCTGGGTAGAGAGAAGTATATAGGTGTGAGTATACAGGAAGTAGCTCTCTCTTGGGCTGAGGATTTCCTAGCGGTAAGAACTTGTTCTGTCCCTCTGACCTTTCAGCTTTCCCCCCAATATCTGGCTCTGGGTTTTTTATTAATAAGACCATTTAGCAATTCACTTTACACCAGACCCTTTGGGGTTCTTGGTGGTGGTGGTTGTAGTGGTGTTTTGTTCTGTTTTTGAGACACAGTCTTACCATGAAGCTCTGACTGGCCTGGAACTCACTATGTAGACCAGGCTGACCCTGGAACTCATGGAGATCCATTTGCCTTTGCCTCCTGGATGCTGGAATCAAATGTGTGTATACTGCCGCGAGTAGCTTTCCAGACCCTCTTGAACACAGCTGCAGCGGCCTCTGAGAGCAGAAGCTGAGCATGAGTCGTGTGGAAACAAATGTCTAGGCAGCCCTGTACAAACAGGTCACCTTGTAGGTCTTCTCTTCCCAAGGGCAAGCCTTCGACACACAGGGTCTGGCTAGCCCCTGAGATGCCCGTCGTCTTTCTTACTGTCCAAACGCCAAGTGTTTCCCTTCTATTTAGTCGTGCTAATCTCAACCCTGCCTCCCTTAGCCCCCAATGGACCCTGGCATTTCTGAAAATCTACAAGTGTTTCAACCCTATTTTGCGCCTCAAACCTGGCTAAAAGCAGCTAAAAATATCCACAGCACGGCTTAGATGCTGGCTTGCTTTGAAATGCCCACCAGACTAACCGGCTCATCACTTTAGACTCAAATGATCGTCTCAGCTCTGTGGCAATCCTGCCCCCCATCTTCTTTGTTTCTCCTTGGGGCATTAGAGGTTGAACCCAGGGCCTTGAGTAGTCTCAGCATATACTCTGCTGCTGAGCTACACACAACATCTTCTGCTCCTCGATTTTGGCCCTAGAAAAATGGGCCTTGTTTATCCTACCTCTCTGTGTGTTCGTTACATTCCTTATTCATTGTTCCTCATACACATTCCTTATTCATTGTTCACTGGAAGAAGCTGTGAAGCCTGGCAGGGTGACGTAAGCTCATCGTCCCAGTGCTTGGGAGGCCAAGGCAGGAGGGCCACCCAAACTACACAGTGAGTCTCAGAAAGCCAATAATAGTAACAACAGTAATAGTCTCCAAACCTTGTCAGAGAGGGCTCAGGGTGCAGCTCACCAGTGTTGGAGAACTCACTCTGCTTACACAAGGCCCTACATTCAATCCCAGCACTATTTTTTTTTTATTTTTTTATTTATTTTTTTTTTTTTGGTTTTTTGAGACAGGGTTTCTCTGTGTAGCTTTGCACCTTTTCCTGGAACTCACTTGGTAGGCCAGGCTGGCCTCGATCTCACAGAGATCCGCCTGGCTCTGCCTCCCGAGTGCTGGGATTAAAGGCGTGTGCTACCACCACCTGGCTATTTTTTTTTAAAAGCCAATTCCTTCAGGGTGAAAAGATGTTAATACATCACCATAGGCCAAAAGGAAAAAAATCAAGATAATGCCTTGCTATTGAAACCTCTTCCTTCATGTTGAGTATTTGATTTGACCCTTGATTTAAATGAATAAGTGTATTTCTCTCATGTGGCAAATAAAATGGGATATATGGCACACATGGGAAATGAAGGGAGGCGAGATGAAGGTGGATCCACCGTGCAAATGTGGAACTCTGTTGTGGGATATTTGTACACTGTGTGAAGATACATTGCTGTGACTGGTTTAATAGAGAGCTGAACAGCCAATAGCAGCAGGTATGGGTGGGACTTCGGAAGACAGAGAGGACTCTGGGAAGAAGAAGGGTGGAGTTGCCAGCCAGAGAGGAAACAGAAGGTACAAGATGAAAGAGAAGTAATGCCACGTAACAGAATGTTGATTAATATAAATGGGTTAATTTAAGTTATAAGAGCTAATTGAGACAAGCCTAAGCTAAAGGTCAAGCTTTTGTAATTAATAAGAAGCCCCTGTGTCATTATTTGGGGCTGGTAGTGGGAAAGAAAGTTGTCCAATATGCTGTCCAATGTGGAGACTCAAATATATGTTGGCAGAGAGGTTACACCTTTGTTTCCACAGGAAACAAAAACTTATGGTTTTCTTCAAAATTAATTAAGATCAGATTTGATCAGGGGAGACCTCCTGAAATCTTGACTACAGACATGAAAAAAGAAACCAAAAAAGGCTACAGGACAGGTGATATATATGCTGATCCTTCTCCTATGGGAACAGCTCTGAGACTGGATGAGACATGATTAATCTTGTTGGCTACAGAATCCTCATGACTTATTATTACATGCCACCCTTTCATATGGCATGGGTAGAGGTTTGGTTATATAGTCCAAACAGACTTATAAAGTTGACAAATACCTTTTACCTGCTCAAACATAAAACAAAAAAATCATCTTTAACTGACTCATGCACACTTGTATTAATGCAGATATATATGTTACCTTTAAAAGTGTATGTGTTTTTTTGGGGGGGGTGGGGGAGACCAGATACCAATAAAGACAAGTAGCCCAGGTGATCCAGCCTCTCAATGCCTCTGTTAAAGTTTTCTCAAAAGTCTACATCCAGAACAACTTCAAAGCTGCTAGCTGAAATGGTCCAGCCTTGGAGATTATTCAGCTAAGACTTCAGAGAAGCTCTATACTTTGCCATCACACAGAGATGGAAAATAAGCAAAAAAATAATACTGCTACTCTCCCAAGACTTGAGCATTATCCAAATTTTCTCAGGGTCCCCTAAAGAGCCCATCTCCCCCAGAGAAAAGGAAGCAGTCTAGAGAATATGACACCCACATTCCCAAGAGGTAGATGGTTTTTGATCATTTGGTGGGTTATGGATGATTGTCATTGTTTAGGGGAGGTTGGTTACAAGTTGTTACTGGTCATGGTCAGGAAAAAAGCTGAACAAAAGATACTAGATTAGATTCAGGGATCTCTTTTTGAAGGGAGAAAGGGGGGATATAGTATAGAAATGATGGGATAAAAGGGTGGATTGCTTAGTCTACTTTTGAACAACTTCAAATATTTTACATTGATATGAATTTTTGTATATTGATACAAATTTAAGGTTTTATTGTTAGAACATACTCTATATATGTTTCTACTCTTAAGATATTTATGTATAGTGACATAAATTTAAGGTTATTTTTGTTGTACTACACATGTTTCTATTCTTGTATAAGGTATTGTATCTATGCAGCTCATTTAAAAATGTAAAGTTCTAGTCCTTGTAAGCTATTTAGGATAATTAAGAAATACAGGTTAGTATTTAGTCATCTATAATAATCAAACTTGTAGTCATGTTAGATATGTTTTCAAAGTTAAACAGAAATATATTTTAGATAGATAAATGGATTTCTAACACTTCAGAAATCTACAGAATATGGCATTTAAAATATTTTAATAACATAAGGCTTTTCATGACAGTGAGATACATCTGCTCCCGGCAGCACCAATTTACTTCAAAGAAGATGAAGGGCATCAAAAAAACCCTCCATCTGGAGTTTGCATTCAATGTGACAAAGGTAGCCATTTGGGCAAGAAACTGCCCTTACCTCAACTGCTGACAGTATGCTGTCCATACTGGACAAGCAGAACACAAAAGAAAGTGACTGCTGAAATTTGCCAAGACAAGATAGGGCAGTCCTTCAAAATTCTTGCTTGACAGAAAAGCCTGTCAGACATTCTAGGCCTGTAGGGTGAAGAAAGATGCCCCAACACTACAGAGGAACCTTGGGTAACTGTCTAGGCAGCCAGTTGTTTCTGTCATTTCTATAATTTTTTTGGAAGTTGCTTGTTTACACTTCCTGTTTATTCAGGTAATATTATATCCTTCGTGGGTCTATTGATGGGATTGAAGATGAAATAGTTATAGTTACAATTTTTCATGTTACAAACGTCAGTAAAGAAACTCATAAAAGAGGTATAAAGTGTATAAGGTTGAGAGACATAAAAGCTTAAATCATTTATCTAAGAAAATGTTTTGAGGTCTAAAATGATAGTTTTAGGATGGTAATACAAGTTATGATAGAAAATGGTTTAGGTATAAAACTTTAAATTTATCAAAATAAGATAGATAATAGAGTATTTTCTCTGAATATGCCAAATACAAATGGACTGGACATTGTGGATGTAATTCTTACCTGACAGTTGTTCTTATTGTATATTAGTTTTACTATGTTAGAGTTAAAACCTTTCCTTTTAATTTAGACAAAAAGGGGGAAATGTGTGATATTTGTACACTGTGTGAAGATATATTGCTGTGATTGTTTTAATAAAGAATTGAATGGTCAGTAGCTAGGCGGGAGATATAGGTGAAACTTCCAAGTAGAGAGAGGAAGGAGGACATAATCAAGGCACAGAGGAGATGCCAACAAGACAAGGAGAGAGTCGGACATACAGAATGAAAGAAAGGTAAAAAGCCTGGCTACATAGTAAGACTCTGTCTCAAAGAAATCAAAACCATAATATGTATCTTTACATCCAGAACACACAACACACAGCTGAGCAATTATGCTCAGAATACTTCTATCATTAATTCCTTAAAATATAAGGAATATTTCCTGGAGTTTATGTGTGTAGATATTTAGTAGGGTCCATTTAACTTAATGTTTCAGTCGTATGTATAAATAAATTAATATCTGTAAAACATTGTTTTAAACTGTTAAAATTTCAAATCATAAAAGAACATGTTTTGGTCAAAAGACACTGAGTTCATAAAAATACTATTTTAGCACTGTAACTTCATGTCACTGAATAGTTAACATATTTATATTATACACAAAAGCTCTCAGAAAATATCTTATGTAGTCCTGGCCAATGGACATGTCATTGTTACTGATGACAATCCCTCTGGGGGACCTTCTCTGTCATTTCTCAGGCACCTGTTTATCAATGACCCTTGAACGGCAGCCCACTACACAACCAGTTCTCTATAGCTTTTGTTTGTTCTTCCAATGCCTGAGTCTCTTCCATTATTCAGCCTCTTCCAGCTCTACCAGGCATTCAGGAGCTGTATGTACTTTCACAGAACTTCCTTAAATATAACTTGTTTCAAAGAATAAGCTAGAACAGAACAGTTCCACCATAATATCCAGTGAATATGAATTGTTAAATGCTACATATTTTGGTACTGCCACCATTCCCAGGGTATTTCATTTCTATCCATGTGATACAAAACTAGAGGGTAAGTCTGTGGAGCACTGCTCTACCACCGGGCTGAGCAGCAACGCTCACAACACCCTTCTTTATTACCAAGCCTTTGTTACATATGGGTGTTTCATGGGGGTTCATGTGTGCAGATCATTAGTGGGGTTTGTTGGAATTAACATTTCAGTTAGCTTATACTTTAAAATAAAAATCATATTCAATGGTAAAGAAACAGGACATAGTTTGCACCACATTACTCACTTGGAGAACTCAATGAGCACACACACACACACCAATATCTATAGCTATCTTTATAATTTAAGATGTTAATGAAATGTTAATTTTTCAATACAAAATTCATGAGTGTTCATCCTTCAGCTGCATTGTGCCCAACTTTGTAGTAGTCCTTAGTGATTTCTATTAGCCCCCAAAGTCTCTCTTAGCGCCTTTAGCCTTTCGCTTGTCTCACTGACACCAAAGAAGACACTTTGTAACAACCATGAGAATGGAAGCAATGAAACAATTTCAATCTGGAAAACAACACACCCCTTGCACTTTTTTAAATAATGAACTGGGTTTTTTTTTGGGGGGGTGGGTGGGTGTCCAAGCTATTCATGGTGAAGAGAATGTGTTTAATCTGATGTGAAGTTGGCTACCCAGCCATCTAGTCAGGCTGCAGAATGTTTGACTCTGGGTCTGGTAGGCTGCCAGACATTCTAAATGTTTTCACACCATGAGCAATAAGTAATTGAATCTCTCAGTCACAGCTGATAGGGCTGTAGAGAGGGGTGATCTCACCACTCAGAGAGCTGAGCAAGCATCCTTCTAAGGGGAAAGCCACACTTTACCTCTTGGTGCTCCTGGTATGCAACACCCTTTCAGTCAACTGTGGCAAGGCTTCCTTGTGAATGAAAGAACCAATTAATTAATTAATTAATTGGAGCTGGCAAGACAGCTCAGCAGGTAAAGGCCAGCCTGAGCCACCAGCCTGACAACCAGAGTTTGATCCCTGGGACTCACTTAGTGGATGGGGAAGAGGTCCTCTGGTTTCTGATCTTCACTGTCATACACACACACAAATAAATGCGATTTTAACTATTATGCAATTATTATTATTATTATGGTATGTGTGAAGGCACATGTACACACACACACACACACACACACACACACACACACACACACACACACACACGAGTCCAGAGAACAACTCTGGCGTCAGTTCCCTTCCACCTTAACTTGTGGAGGTCAAATTCAGAATGCTAGGCCCTCACGGCAAGTGCCTTCACCCAGTCAGCCATCTTGTAGGTCCCACACAAAAGACATGGCCTCAAACTTGTAATCCTCCTGTCTCTGCCTCCTCAGCATAACCTACTACCATGTAGCGACTGGCAAGGCTTTCAGATGGTTTTTGTCTGTAGATTTTATAGTGGCTGGGCCTCTCACTTTTACCACAGAACAACTGTGGAGGCCACAGGACACCTTTGTGGAGTCAGTTCTCTCCCACTACCTTTATGGGGCTCGAGGGATCGACTCAGGCCACCAGGCCCGTGTGCCAAGCACCTTTATCTGAAGAGCCATCTCACTGGCCCAAGGCTTTACACAATTCCAAGAGATCACTTTCGTGATTTTTATCATTCCATTTGCAAAGATGGAGACGCTACCTACGGTAGAAGATAGCTCTAGGCCACGGGCGAAGTAGTCCGGTTCCTGGGTTTAGGCTGGCACTGTCACTAACAACTGACGGCCTTTAGTGAGCTAACTTCTGGGTCTAATGTTATAAAATTAGGTTAGAATGGGAGACAATTTTTTTTTTTTTTGGTTTTTTTTTTTTTTTTTTGGTTTTTTGAGACAGGGTTTCTCTGTGTAGCTTTGCGCCTTTCCTAGAACTCGCTTTGTAGACCAGGCTGGCCTCGAACTCACAGAGATCCGCCTGGCTCTGCCTCCCGAGTGCTGGGATTAAAGGCGTGCGCCACCACCGCCCGGCGAGACAATTTTTTTTTAATCATTCCTGAGGAAAATACACACGTTCTCCTCCCCACTCCTTAGTTTTCATGAGGTAGATGTGTACAAGCATGAGTATTCAAGACCAAAATGAACGAATAAAAGCTCCCTGGGTGGGTGGGGTTTGTTTTTGTCTTTCCCTTTGCCCTTTTTGGCTGAGGTGACACCTTGCCATGTGGCTCACGACAACGTCTGGCGTTCCTCCTCCTTCAGTCTCCTAGCTATTAAAACTTATCACTGTGTGGGTCACAAGTACAAGTGAGGAGATGCCATGGTGCACTGGTGATGACGACCTTCAAGAGTTGGTCCTCTCCTACCTCTGTGCATCCCGTGAAAAGGATTCTGGGACGTCAGGCTTGGTGGCAGAGGCCTTTACTCACTGAGCTATGTCACTGGGCTTTTTTAAAAAAGGAGGGCTATGACTGAAGACCCAATGTTGACAGAACCGGACAAGAAGGTAACACTTTCGCCACACATGCTTTCCCTAGAGTGATTTCAGGGTGCCACCTAATTATTACAAGTTCTGACTAAAGACATTAGATGGTCCACCTCATCTTTGCCCCTTATAAGCAATGCTACCTTTGGGATCCTGAGCATCCCACACAGTCCCCTGTTAGGTGTGTTTCCAGGGTGGTGCTATTGGGAGGCAGCAGACACTTTGAGGCCACGAGAGGGGTTTTAAGTCACTGAGGGCATGCACTTACAGAGGGCCATGGGCTCTGGTCTCTTCCTTTTTCTCCTCTTCTTTTCCAGAGCAAGCAGCTCTGCTCCACCATGTACTCTCCACCAAGATGTGTTTTCTCACCACGGACACAAAGCCATGGAGTCAACCTACTGTACCCTGGCACTTCCCTACTCTGAGCCTAAATAATTCTTTTCTCTAAGAGTATCTGCTATAGGGATACAAGGCTAAGACCGAGAAAAACAAAACATCCAAACAAACCAACACCAGCAAGACAATCAAGGCAGAGTGGGTGATTTATTCTTACATTCTTTCAGAAAATTTTCACCCAACAGGGTTGGAGGTCTATACCTTGGTGGTAGAGTACTCCTAGTTAGCATGCACGAGGGCCGAGGCTTGATCCCTCACGCTGCCTCCACCCAGAAAAATTATCAGGAGTATGCTTCAAACAGAAAGACTGAAAAATTGGCTTTGTAGAGCTCAAAAACCTGGGAATACTGTCTGTTAAATTCTACATGTCATTGTGACATGGGTGGTTTTTTGTGTCATTTGTTGTGCTGAATAAACCATGCACACACACCCTGGAGGAATGTTTCCCTATGCTCCCAGACTCTCCCAGTATAAGAATTTTAAAGTAAGACTTTCAGTCATTTTTTAAAGTTCTTAACACACATAAAATATCTTATTGTTTCACCTATAATTCCTACCTGTTTCCATCCTTAGAATTCTTAACTTTAGCTTTATTTTGAGATAGGGTCTCTAACTAGGCTGACCCTGAACTTCTGATCTTCCTGTCCCTATTTCCCAAGTGCTAGGATTACAGGCGGGCCAATGTGCCTGTTTTGAGAATTTTCATCTCTAAATAACTCAGTAAACACTTGAAGTGCTTCCTTTGTGATCAATTTTTAATTTTCTTAGACTGCTATAGCCATTTTTCGTGATGTTTCCATACGTTTTGTTTAAGTCTCGTGTATCCCAGGCTGGCCTTGAACTCACTATACAGTTGTAGATGACCTTGAACTTCTGATCCTCCTGCCTCTACCTCCCCAGTGCTGGGATTGTAAGCACCATGTACATGGTGCTGGTGATTGAACTAAGGGCTACCAAGTGAGCTACATAAAATTCTTCAAGTTACGTAGGTGTAGTTGACAAGAGGATCTGTGACACGTGAACAGGGTTGGAACAAGGTGAGGATACACACGCACTGCTTAAAGCAGCAGCTCAGGCTGGTGTCACTTGCTCAGAGCTCCTGGGCGTCGTCCTAGTAAAGAAAGGGTTTGGGCAGCTGAGCTGTGATACAAAGGAACAGAAGACTAAAACAAATGTGACCAGTTAAAATTTTTTTCCAAGGGGGTTTGAGTATGTCAGTCCTGAGAACCGGAATTGATTCATAGAGGACTTCATTAGCAACTTAAGGTCAAAAGGTGCATGAAGCCGGCCTGGCCTATGCCAAGCTCAGGATTCAAAGGGCTGAGGACCATCTCTTGCCTGCTTTGGAAGCCTGGCTCACTTTTAAGTAGGCCTGTATTGGTGAGGTAATCTATGGTGTGTCAGTCCCGGCTCCAAAAGTGGGTGGTCTTTGCAGAGGGAGGTGCTCACTCACTCTACCTCTGGCTGGAGCCAGTTCCTGCAGCTGGCCTGCAGGCAGCCCACAGACTGTACTTGCACATTTCTTCATTTCTCACTTGAGTGCCCTTCTTTGGGTCCCTTTCAACTGCCCACTTTAGATCGGCTTCATTACACCACCGCTCCATTTGTCATGTAAATTGGGGGACTCGGGGGAAGTTTTTCTTTTGGCCTTGTCTACGGAAGAATACCAAGAGGTATTCAAAACGTATTAACACAAATCAATGGCACCAATAAAAGCGAAATCTCCTTAGCAACATAGTCTTGATTGCAAAGGGGGAACGGAGAGCATTTAGTGGAACACTGGCCCACATGGAAGACGCATTTGTCTGGAAGAATCCAGCACAAAGCCTAAAAGAGAGATTTTGAAAAAATCCAAAATTAACTCACAGGGAACAGTTACTCTTTTTTTCAAAAGTCCACAATTGGCTACATTAAATCTATCGTGTGCTTTGGGCTCTGCAACATTGTATCTCAGAGCTTTGCAAACTGAAATTACAACACCCTGCATGCTTCACATGAGTTACAGGGTGTTTTTTGTTTGTTTTGTTTTTTGAGGTTTTTTTTTCCTCCGCTGATTTCTTTGGTAAAGCAAACAAAAAGTCTTAAGAAATATTCATCTCACACACAATGTGAAGAAAACTGAATGGCTATTTAACAATATCGAAGACTGTAGGTACAAAAGGTTGCGCTCTCTTTTAGGCTTCCTGCAATGGATTCTAGATGCTAACTACTGCAGGCAGCAGCGGCATTCTGCAGCAGTTTGCACTGGTGGAAAAAAGAAGTGGAACACAGTGCTGAGAATGCTCTCCGTTGTGTTAGAACGAAAACAGTGAAAAGAATGGAAGTTCAGAAAATCAGGTATCGACTCTTTAGAAAAAATTCTAATACTCAAATGATTCAAGAAAACACAAATTCAAAAATAAAGCTTCTCTCTTCAATTATTTCATGTAGCATCGCCATTTTGATCTTGAGTAAAACAATTCAGGCAATGGAGGAAAAAATATCTTCACTTGCATACTACAGAAAAATTCTGTTTTTGTTTTTTGAGACAGGATTTCTGTGTAACTTTGTACTGGAACTTGCTTTGTAGACCAGGCTGGCCTCAAACTCAGAGACGGGCCTGCCTCTGCCTTCAGAGCCCTGGGACTAAAGGCGTGCACTACCACACCTGGCCAGAGAAGGTCTTAAAGTGAACTGAGTCAGGTATTTGTGTCACAATGATACCTCTTTGTGCCTTTCCCTATGTCAAGCACACAAATGTACACCTGAAAACAAAAGACTGACTTTCTGTAAGGCTGTTAACAGACTAGACTGTGGAGGGGGTAGAACGCTGTCAGACAGAGCTGATTATAATTTATCTTGGGTTACCTGTATCATTAGCTGCTTGGTAGTCATTTCTTTCTCTTCTTTTTTTTTTTTGGGGGGGGGTATTTTTCAACACAGGGTTTCTCTGTGTAGTTTTGGTACCTGTCCTAGATCTCGCTCTGTAGACCAGGCTGGCCTCGAACTCACAGAGATCCACCTGGCTCTGCCTCCCAGTGCTGGGATTAAAGGCGTGCGCCACCACTGCCACCACCACCAGGCTCGGTAGCCATTTCTTACACCCTGGTCAAGCCTTTCAACTGTATTAACAGGCCCCTGGCTTCCACCAACTAAAAGGCTAAGAATGTCATCAGACAGCATCTGAGACACATAGCTGACTGCTGTAACTCACCTACCTGGTATATCCACCAAAGTGTGTGAAAAATGCCTTGATTGGCGACTTTTTCTGTTACTATAAAAATACGATGAAACATCTGCCACACTGAAACATGAAATTTAGGATAATCTCAATCTGTGCTTCCAGGCCATGGTTGCTTATATTTAGCTGCAGAATAAACTCTTATTTTTCTTGAGGTGAAAGTTGTTTTGCATTGACGTGTATATATCTACATGCCTTTTCCATGTTAACTAAACTGGAATCTGGGTCAAATATAACGGGACAAAACTCATGTGGTTAAGCCACTTGATACAATGCAACACACAGACCCTGCTCAATGTGTACTTACAGGGGTAACAGTCAGAATTATTTCTGCCTTCACCTGAGAACTTGAGAGCCTACCAGAGGAATTGATGATCTTCGCTAACCTACATTCATTTCAGAATTTAAGGACAACCTTTGGAGCAAAGGAGTCAGATAGAAGTTACACTTTTTCTTTTTTTCCCCACAGTATAAGCAAGAGCCTCAAGCATGCTAGGCAAGTGATCCACCACCAAGTGGAAAGTTCACAAATGCCTACCGCAAATTTTTCAAGTTTACCATGCCAAGTCCTAAATTCAAATTCTTAAGGGTGTCAATTTAATTGTTTTATTCCCAGACATCTGTGAGAACGCTGTCCACTGTGTGTGCATGGGTCTGCACTTCACTCAGTCATGACCACAGACCCTTCTCAGTCCGTGAGTTTCCTGTGATGTAATTTAGATGGCCTCAGTTTTACTTCGCCCATTACGTTCTACAAAAACAAAATGCTGTGCTTTAGTTTAATTTTGGCCACAGCATTATCGGTTGAAACCATGTTCTGCAATAGATTCTGCTAAAAAAATAAAGTAAAAAATCAACAAACAGAGGGAATGATCTTATTTAGTGCCTTCTAGATTTTCTGTGGGGGTTATGAAAACTTAAGTCAGGGTCTCACTATGGAGTCTTGGCTGGCTAGAACTCATTCTGTAGACCAGGCTGGCCCCCAAATCAGAAAACTTGCTTCTGCCTGCTGAGCTATGGGATTAAAAGGCATACCCAGCTTTCCTTCTAGACTTTAAGTTTAATGGTGTGTGTGTCGAGAGAAAGAACCGGACACAGTTTCCTGAAGCAGGAAGCAGGAGGATGCAGTCACGGCGGTCACCAGCGCTCTTCTCTCCTGTTGCTCTCCGAGACTGTCTAGCCTCTACATCTTGTCACAGCCTCCAGAGTGCTGGCACCCAGGTTTGCACCAGGCTCCGGGGGAAGGCATCTGCTGCTGAAGGCTGGTTGATGCTGTTTCTTTAAACCCAACAGCAGAGCAAGTGATAGCTAATTCATCAAAAACAAAATGTTTGGTGTTCAGTTCACTAAAATACTTCTGAGATACAAAGCTAAGAAGGCAATATGTTATTTTTCAAAAACAGAAAAAACAGTCAACTCCCAATTCAAGAGTATCGTGTTTAGAAATGCAAGGGAGAACATGGGTTGATGATCTCAGGTGTAACTAGGTTTTAAAAGATCACATTACTTTTTTCATTATAGTCAACATTTTCCCAATCTTTAAACACACAAAATATTTTAAGTACATATGGGGAATACCCCACCTCTAACTGTTCTAATTGTTTAACATTTTTATTCTTCTCTCATGTACTACATTCCGACCGCACTTCCCTTCCCTTCATTTCCTTGGTTCTTCCCCTAGTTCTCCATCCTCCAGGTCCCTTCCTCCCCCCCGCCCCAGAAAAGATCAAGCCTCCTAGGGACATTAACAAAACATGACACAAGATACAGTACGACCAGGCATAACCCTTCACATCAAGGCTGGGGAAGGCAACCCAGCAGGAGGAAAAGGGTTCCAAGAGAAGACAGAGTCAGGGACACCCCCAGCCCACTTTCAGGAGTCCCACAGAACCCCAATAATCATAACATACATGTAAAGAACCTAGTACAGACCCATACAGGCTCTGCGAATGCCACTTCAGTTTCTGTGACCCCCCGAAATGCCCATGAACCCTATTAGTTTGATTCGGTGGGCCATGCTCTCATGGAGTCTTCAACCCCTCTTGGTTCCCACAATCCTCCTCCACCTCTTCCTCAGACTTCCCGAGCTCCGAGGGAGGGATCTGGTGGACACCCATAACCTGGGACCTCTCTCTCCTCTCTCCCTCTCCCTCTCTCTCTCTCTCTCTCTCTCTCTCTCTCTCTCTCTCTCTCTCTCTGCCTAATGTTTGGCTGACCCCACCTCTAATTTTAAACACAAAATTTAACAAGAGCTCATTTATGCTGACATTCTACATCCAAATAATTACCATTAAACATCTAGGTACATTGCTCTCACATAAAACTTAATGAAAAGAAAAAATAAACAACAGCTAAACAAAGGTAACATCATGAGGTGGTCATATCATAACATCTTCTTTTGATAACGAAAGCAAAATAAAGAGACCAAATAATCTGATGACATTGTAAAACAACAGAAATGTCCTGAAATCAAGATGAGCATCTTGTGGCACCATAGCTAATGCCTGCAATCCTCAGTTGCACAAAAGGATTGAGGCCAGCCTGGGCTAGATGAGAACCCATCTCAAAACAAAACAACAGGATCAGCATCTTGAAATCTGTTTTCAGTACTATGAGAATGAAAATATTAGCCTGCTACAAGCCTGTAATCTTGGTACCTGTAGGCTAGGGAAGGGAACTGAGAGTTGAAGGCCACGCTAGTCCATCAGAAAACAAAACAGACCAGAACAAAACAAGGAGAAAGAATTATCATCTTCAATGGTTTCTTTGAGAAATGAAGATAAAAGGCAACTCTGAACTATTCCCAGGTATAGGTGGGAATACTGGACCACTGAGAGGGTAGCAGTGTTTGGGAACGTAGTTCAGTGGCAGAGTGCTGCCTATCATCCACCAGGCCTTAGGTGACATACCCAGCCCAAGGTCTGTCAGGACAGAAGGGCCCACAACCAGATGCTGGTGTAGTGTCAAAGACAATTTTAAACATACTTTACTTTTGATTCAGTACTAGTGTTCAACAGCAAGTCAAAGCAAATCTGTACAATTGAGATATCAGGCATGCAGCTAAACTTCACATGGTAAACTGTGAAGCCAAACATCATGGAAATTCCAACAGTCTGACTATGTACAGAACATGTAAAACTAGTGCATCTGAACTTGCAAACACGGGTCTCAACTGCACGTATCACCGTGGAGCATCCTCCCCGTGACTGCAGTGGAAACTGTCCAAAGGCTGTACAGCTAGCTTGTGTCTACAAGGAAACAATCAGGAGCGCTCCATCAACACCGTGAAAACAACTATGGGGAAGGTGCCGTTCTTCCCAACTGAAAACTGTTCACTTATAAAACTATGCTAATAATTAGTGGAAATCACTGTTTACTATTATTCAAGGTTGTGTTAAATTTAGTTTGTGGGTTTTAAGACACAATTACATGGTTTCTATTCTGAATAACTAGAATCTAGTCGTTAAAGACTCTTGGTGTAGTATCTGCTGCTAGTTTATATAGATACAGTGAACCCTTCATGAGAAAAGGGCAACATTCACCTCAAAGCTGAAAATGTCACATCAGTTTTACTACTGCTACTGGACTCTAGAATAGCTATTCTAATCCAAACAGTCACAGTTGTGTGTAAAATATAATAGTTTGCAAAATATATTGTTTGGGAAAGTTTCTGTATAGCAATAGTGGCTACCTGTAAAAAGCCAGTGATGTACAAAAAAGATCACAGGTAATTTATCAGCTTACATACAAACCTATACGTTGGATTTCCTGCTAATAATCTATTTTCTTGGCCAGTCTAAAAAGCACTGATGGTTCATGACTTACAAACTTAAGATCAGAAAACAGGAGCTGAGGAACAACTTCTGTTTAAAATATTTCCTTGGACTGATGTTCATGTAATAAGGGTGCCTCTGATATATAATTTCCAGTACATGGGCACTTAAATTTATTATTTAAGAAATAATAATACTGTAAGTCATTAATGAAAGCTCTAAATGCTTGAGGTATGATTAGTTTATGATAATGCACATACCATGGATCTTGGCTCTTCTCTGTGTACATCTGAAGTGTGGGAGTACACATTTCTAGGGATTTTTTCAGTAGGGAACACATTTCTAATTACAGTTATAAGAGCTTTTCAAATCCTATAGTTAATATTAATTGTGAAAATATTCTTACAACAATATAATTTTGACCAGCAATAGGAGACAAACAGCCTCTTAACTAGGCCCAAGCTTCCTCTGCAGCCCATCTCTGTGGCATTCTACAGAGCGACAGCTGTGTACAGGACACTGTGCACAGCCTGCATGGTCATCATGGTTAGCTGCTCTTTCTGAAGCCTGGGACGAATTCAGCACTGTGTGAATATACAATCAGTTCACACTGAAACACAGGAACACTGGAGTTTGGGACAGCATTATTTTGAACTGCACTAATTATGGTGGTAGGACATATCTACCCTGGCTAGATAAAGGTTAAAGAAAGGTGGGAACCATTTAAATCCTTTGTACTCTGCTCCACTTCACAGAAATGTTTTCTATGGATTCAAGTTGTTAAGTTCTCGTGTGTGTGTGTGTGTGTGTGTGTGTGTGTGTGTGTGTGTGAGAGAGAGAGAGAGAGAGAGAGAGAGAGAGAGAGAGAGAGAGAGAGAGAGACAGACAGACACGTTAGGACACTATCTTAAACCCAAGTTTTAAAGACAATTCCTAAAATCCCATATAGGATTTGAGATACTGGCATTTAGCTATTCAAATTTATATAGAAGCACAGTACTTTAGAGAAGTACAAAGAAACACTTTTTAAAAATACAGGTATATCAATTAACAAAACTGGTATTTAAAAGGTTTAATATGGGGTGGGGGGAGGGAGGTAGTGGTACTAATTCTTAATACAAATTATTAAACATAGTTTATATAATTTCAAACGTTATTCACATTATTGCTCGATACCACAATTATATGGAACAAGTTCTTGACAACACATTAAAATGTGTTTAATTTTAGGCTTATAAAAAAACAATGTCTACACATAGGCCATTCAGAAATCTATAGTGTGGAGATATGTACAACTAAACAGAAAAAATATATGTATGTCTATATTTAAAAGTAATAAGCTAAAAAAAAGTAATAAGCTAATCTGATCTGAACTTAAATATCCAATTTTCAATCAAAAAAGTATATAACTGGATTGAAAGTGAATGGGTAGATTGGAAATAGTATTAAACATACTCACCATTTCTTAGTGACTATCTACTCTATATAACAATACACTAGTGTTATATCAGATGATTTTTAATTCTAGAAGTTTGTTTTCTTTCCAAACTATCGAGAAACACATCCATTCCACAATTGTTAGATTGGAAACATTTGAATTTAGAAGGGGTAATTCTCTACTTCTGTATGTAAGATGTGCTGAGCAGTGAACATAACCGGATACAGATGCCTTTCTGCCTGTTGACTGGCACTGAGGACAGATGCTACTCTGCAGTGAGCTCACTGAGTCCCAGCAACCGCTGCTGCATGCACACCACTCGTGATGTGTCTATTCCAGGAAAACGACCTTTTGAAGAGAGATTTTTCAAAACCATTGCTAGTTCTTCATAAAGCTAAAGTATATCTGCTGAGACAGAGCATCAGGAACTGTGTGAGAAAGGTCAGCGCAGGCCCAAAAGGCTATGTGAGAAAATGTGCTGGTTTCAAATACTACTGTACAAATTCTAGTGGGAAGGGAAAAAACAAAACAGTACAAGAGTATGTCAGAACAGACAACAAGTATGTTTTTCTATGTTAAGGAACTGACAATGGACCGTGTGAACCTTGTTGACAAAATAACAAAGGCTGGCCATTTTTATGCTAAGTTCAAATGTATTTTTTTTTTTGAGAATACAAAAAGTAATCCTTGAAAATCAGAATACATAACAGAAAAGAGCACAATAACTTAAGTATTAAACATCTGTATGAAATAACTTGCAAAGTTTGACAAATATGCACACATAGAACATGCGGTTATTTAAAAACAAAACAAACAGAACCACCACCCGATTCTGTAGAACCAGCATCATGTCACCAGCAGGAGAGCACCAAGCAAGGCACCATTGGAAAGACAACACACTTGCAAAGTCTCTATAAATAAAGCAAATGCTAATCTGGTCGAAAAATCGGTGTCTTTGGTAAAAATTCTATGAGGATGACCTGTAAAAGGAGAAGAAAAGGGTTGTAAACAACTTAAAGCAGATTTTTTTCTTAATCTTAAAACATCAGTCATATTCTGTTGCTTAAATTTGTTTAAAAAAGATGTAAGACTGGGCAATGGTGGCACACGCCTTTAATCCCAGCACTCAGGAGGCAGAGGCAGGCGGATCTCTGTGAGTTTGAGGCCAGCCTGGTCTACAGAGTGAGTTCCAGGATAGTCAGAGGCTACACAGAGAAACCCCATCTTAGAAAACAAAAACAAAAAGATGTAAGAGTAGAAGAGGGACATACTGGGGAAGCGAGAAGGAAGGGGTTCAGTGAGAACAGGACAGGGACAAGAGAGACTACTGGAGGTATGAGTACAAACAGAACACACTACACATGTACGAAAATGTCATAATGAAGCTCACCAAGTATAATTAGCACATGCTAACAGAACTCAAAACTTGATTTTGAAAATACACACACATTTCAAAACTTTAATTTTATCTTTTTAAAGACAAGTCTGACTATGTGACCCTGGCTGGCCTGGAACCCTTTATGTAGACCAGGTTGGCCTTGAAATCATAGAAATCTGTGTCCTCACTTCCCAAGTGCTAGCATTAAAGGCATGCGCCACCATGTCCACCCTAATTTTTAAAACAGACATTTATTTGATAACTTTGAACCTCAACACTAAGTTTTCTTTTTATTTCTGGACCTTTACCAAGTGTGAAATATCCTTCAAGTCTATGGAAAAAAATGAATAAAATAATGGAAGTCTGTTGTGGGTACACTGTGAAGGTGTATTGCTGTGATTGGTGTAGTTAAAAGCTGAACAGCCAATAGCAAGGCAGGAGAGCAAGGCGGGACTTCCAGACAGAGAAAGAACACCAGGAAGAAGGCAGAGGAAGAAGGCGGAGTCACCAGCCAGACAGAAAGGAAACGGGATGGGAATATCGAATAAAGATAACCAAGTCACATTAAAAAAAAAAATGTAGACTAAAAGATAGGGGTTAATCTAAGTTATAAGAACTAGTTAAGAACAAGCCTAAGCTAAAGCTGAGTTTTCATAATGAATAATAAGTCTCCATGTCTTTTTTTTGTGAGCTGCTCCCTTCCCCTGCCCCAAAAGAAAATCCATCTACAGAAGTCCAAGAAGGTAATTAGAGGTAGGTAACATAGGTGTTCTACCTGATATATTGAAGTAGCATGAGTATATATGTATGCTTCAAAGAATGAGAAATACTGAGAACTGAACATAAGGGGTTTCAGTGTATGGCTCTATTTAAGCCCAACAACCTAAGCAAAGTATTACTGTCCTCACTAAAAGACAAGGAAACTAATGATCTAGACCAGACAGGTGTGGTGATATTGTGTTCCTCAAAATATTGTGCACCCTAATAAATTTATCTGGGATCAGAGAACAGAACAACCACTAGACAGACATAGAGTCTAGGAAAGGGTGGCATACACACCTTTAATCCTAGCAATCCAGAGGCAGAGATCCATCTGGATCTCTGTGAGTTCAAGGCCACACTAGAAACAGCCAGGCGTGGTAACAAGAGTCTTTAATCCCAGGAAGTGATGGCAGGAAGCAGAAAGGTATTTAAGGTGTGAGAACCAGGAACTAGAGCTGGTTAAGCTTTTAGGCTTTTGAGCAACAGTTCAGCTGAGATCCATTTGGATGAGGACTCAGAGGCTTCCAGTCTGAGGAAACAGATCAGCTGAGGAACTGGCGAGGTGAGGAAGCTGTGGCTTGTTCTGCTTCTCTGATCTTCCAGCATTCACCCCAATAACTGGACTTGGGTTTGTTTTTGTTAATAAGACCTTCTAACAATTTGTGCTACAGACAGGCACAATGATTTTGCAGAGAGGGCACTTGCCTCCAAGTCTGATGACCTGAGTTCAAGCCCAGGAACTCACATGGAGAAAGGAGAGAACTCCTCTAAGGTATCCTCTAACCTCCACCCCACCACACCCCCACACACACTCACACAGATACAAAGTAAGTAAATGTAAATAAAGTAGAAGAAAATGAATGATCTCATAACCTGTAAAATCGAAAACTATAAAGGAAGGAAAAGCAGACTGTGTAGGAGGCTTAAGAGAAGCTTAGAAGTTAACACGTGCTACTCCTCTAGAGGACGCAAGTTCAGATCCTAGCACCTACGTCAGGAAGCTCACAACTACCTTTTAACTCCAGCTCTGAGACCCAACACCCTCATCTGTCGTAGACACCTACTCACACATGTCCTACACACACACACACACACACACACACACACACACACACACACACACACACACACACACGCACGCGCGCAACATAAAGTATTTTTTAAAAGAGAAAGAAGCTGGACGTGGCACAAATCCCAGAATTTGGGAGGCAGAGGCAGGCATATCTCTGAGGCCAGTCAGGTCAATATAACCAGTTCTAGGACAGTTGGGGCTCATAGTGAAAGACTGTCTCAAAAGAACAAAAGATAACAATAACAAAAAAATAAATTCCAAAGCTTTGCCTTTTCTACCGTATAGTTTATAGTTAATCACTATTTGTATTAGTATTTCTTCTCTTTAATCAACCTAATCCCATAGTCTTCTCTATGTCCCAGAGTTGCTTACAGTTTACCACAGCAGGACAGATGAGCTCTGCATGAGTACTCCCTTCTTCCTCCCTCTGTAATTCTGAAGACAGGGTTTTTGGGATCAACTGGAATTCACGATATAATTCAGGCTGGCCTTGAACTCTCACCAATCCCCACAAGTGCTGGGGTGATAGTCAGGAGCACCCTGCCCAGCTCACATGCATGCACTCACTCACTCTCTCCCAGGAGTTATGCTCATTCTCTCTCTGCCTCTTCCCCAAACTACTTCTTTTTAGATCTGGGTACTGATTTCTTAGGGATGTCTGCTCTCAAACTAGCAGTCCTCTAGAGACCTTAGCCTCTAGAAAGGTGCAATCACAGGTGTGCACCTGCAACCCAACTGTTTCTTTTTCCCAAGCCCTTCTCTAAGGCACTTTTAGTAGTAAACCAAAGGAAACTGAAAATATTGTAACATAAATATCCAAGCTGACTACAGCTAAATTTATTCTGAACTTGAACTATACTGTTATATTAAATCTTTCCATGCTCCAATTCTAGATAGAATACATACAGGTCAAAAAACTGAGAGAGCTGGAGAGATGGCTCGGAAAAGGATTCATGTTCAGTTCCCTGCACTACTACAGCAGCTCACAATCATGTCTAACTCTAGTTTGAGGGGTTCCAATACCCTGTTCTGTATTCTCTGGGTACCAGACAGACACTTGGTGCAGAAACATACATGAAGACAAAATATTCATACACATAAAATAAAAACAAAATCTTTTAAAAATTATGTGAACAAAAAAGTCAAACTTTATAAAAATATCTTTGACAAATAGATACAGTAAAGCATTTTTTTTTTCTTTTTTGAGACAGGGTTTCGCTCTGTAGTTTTGGAGCCTTTCCTGGATCTCACTCTGTAGACCAGGCTGGCCTCAAACTCACAGAGATCTGCCTATCTCTGCCTCCCAAGTGCTGGGATTAAAGGCGTGCGCCACCACTGCCCGGCCAGTAAAGGATTTTTATTGTTAAAAAATTATTTGATGTGGATAATTTCTAAAGTTGGGACCTCGTTTTTCTCAGAAACTGTGTCTTGACATGGGAGGCTCTGATCGTGTACTTGATTAACCTTCTGGGCCAGGGAACTTTCATTTTCATTTTGAGTTTTACTGGCTTTTTGATTTCCTCAATAAAGAAAGTACTTCCCTTCTTGGTTCACAAACACTCCTTTCCCTTTCTAGTTACCCTCAGGAAGCCTTAGGGGTCACCCATGCCACTGTCCTGCCCTGTTACTTACATACAAGACATTCATTCACTAGCTTCCTAGAATATGTTCGCACTGAGGAGAAGTACTTGTTGAGTGCTCAGCTCTAGTCAAAGTATCTCTATTACTCATGCCAGGACAAAGGCTCAGATAACGTTAAGGAAGAGGGGGAGGAAAGAATCTAAGGAAAAGAGCACCAGGAAACTGTCTGCTGGACATGACATACTTATTGCATCATGAACTCACAGCAGCTGGAGCTACCTGCACAGATTTTGCAGGTCAAGATTCTAGGGTAGATGCATGAAGACTCATGCAACCTCACCCCTTAACTGAAAAGCAACTGGCAATTCCTAGCTGCTGGGAGAGGGAGAGTCATTTTCCTTCAGGGGTGTAGGCACTGGTCAGTTGCCCATGATCCAGTAAATAATTCTGTACCAATGCACATGCCAGCAACCCTAATTAAACTCAGCAGGTTACTTTAAAAAAGAGAGCGAGAAGCATGGGGTGTAGGAGGGGCTGTGTTGGGAAGAAGGGCTCCAGAGGAAGTGGAGAGTAGAAGTTAAGATATTGAGAAAGGAGGGGTGAACAAAATACATTCTACATGTTTGAAATTGTCCAAGTATAAATAAAACGTATGTTTAAAAAAAATTGTGGGGCTGGAAAGATAGCTTAGTGGTTAGGAGCACTGGCTGCTTTTGCAGAGGACCTGGATTCACTCCCCAGCACCCACACAGCAGCTCACAACTTCAGTTCCAAGGAATCCAACGACCTCTTCTGGCCTTCAAGGGCACCAGGCACAAACATGGTGCATAGACATACATGTAGGCAAAACACTCATACATATATAAAATAAAAATACTTTTTTTTTCAAAAAGTACTTTTTTTCTCCACCCAGCTCCTTTATTTGTGCTCGATTTTCCTGTTTCTCATGTTCCTCATCTATAAATAAATGGTTGGACTAGATGAAAAGGTTCTTTGTAGCTCTAAAAGTTCACGATTAAATATTCAAATGACTTGCAAGTTCACATTGAATAAATATTTCAGTATTCAAACACATCTTCCACTGTAGTGTTTTTAAATTTCAGGCCCCAGGGGTGAGTACACTATTTTACAGTCTATATGCAAAGTATAAAACAGTAGCTATTTTTGGCTGGGCGGCGGCGGCGGCGGTGGTGGTGGTGGTGGTGGTGGTGGTGGTGGTGGTGGTGGTGGTACACACCTTTAATCCCAGCACTTGGGAGGCAGAGCCAGACAAATCTCTGTGAGTTTGAGGCCAGCCTGGTCTACAGAGTGAGATCCAGGATGGGCCCCAAAACTACACAGAGAAACCCTGTCTTGAAGAAAACAAAACAAAACAAAACAGTGGCTATTTTTTTTATTTTTATTACTTTATGCACATTTATGTTTTGCTGAATGGATATACATGTACCATTCGTGTGTGTATATAAATATGCACCAGGTGTATGCCTGGTGCCTCAGAGGTTAGAGGAGAATGTCAAATCCTCTGAGAGAGGAGTTCCAGACAGCTATGAGCAGACATGGAGGAGCTAAGAATTAACCTGCATCCTCTGCAAGTATAACAAGGGCTCCTAACTGAGGAGCCAACTCTCCAGTCCAGGATGACTACTTTTCACTCTGAATCTGCCTTAGTTTTAAAAGAACAGTGCCCTGACAACGTTTTCCTTCCCAAACCCCATATGTACTTCATACCCGAGTGACAAACAACAAAACAAATAGTTTTGCATTGTTATTTATTTTCTAGATTATTTCTAATAGTCAAAATATAATTAAGGGGAAGTACTTCGCTTTAACAATCAGAGGTTGTATAAATTATAGGCAAAGGCATATATGCACAGCAGAAAGGCTCAAGTTCATTAAATAAGGAGGCCTTTTCTTCTTACTAGACTATGTGTGATTATGATGCTCAAATGCTTTTAAAGAGCTTCTGAAGCTTTGTTTACTCCTATTTTGAACTACCACAAATAGACATACTCTAAGAATATCTAAGGTGGTACAAGCCTTTAATCCCAACACTTGGGAGGCAGAGGCAGGAGCATCTCAGTGAGTTCAAGGCCAGCCTGGTCTACAAATCGAGTTCCAGGACAGCCAGGACTGTTACAGAGAGAAACCCTGTCTCAAAAAAACAAAACAAAAACAAACAAAGAATATCTAAAAATCACTTTAAAAGTAACTTTAAAAGTACTTTTTTTTTTTTTTAGGTTTTTTGAGACAGGGTTTCTCTGTGTAGCTTTGCGCCTTTCCTGGATCTCGCTCTGTAGACCAGGCTGGCCTCGAACTTATAGAGATCCGCCTGCCTCTGCCTCCCGAGTGCTGGGATTAAAGGCGTGTGCCACCACCGCCCGGCAAAAGTACTTTTTGTATACCTTCTATAATAATGTGAAATAGAATTCATTTAAAAGTACTTAATTATGTAAAAACTCAAGGGAAATTAAAATTTTTCATGAAGTATACAGTTTAGAATGTTTTAAAACAGTTTAGAATGTTTTAAAAAACTACTAATTTAATTGTAATGAAAGAATTTCTTAAAGATAAGAGAAAATAAGGTTCATATGCCATATGAATGAATGCTTTTCATAGAGCTCCTCTTGGAAATCACATAATCTAGATTTTTCTTTTCTCAATGCAGGAAATCCAACTCCTTGTGTGGCAGGCACGTGCTCTACCATGGGCTATTTCCAGTTTGTTATTAACTTTCATTTTTTCCTTCCCAAAGTAAATTCACAAACATGTAAAAAGTAATTAAAGCCTCAGGTTGAAGCGTGGTGTTCGGGTTTGTAAATGTCTAACAGCAATGAGTGTTTCCTGAAGCCCTTGAACTGTCCCCCAACGGGTAACAGAACTCTCCTATCCACAGTAAGATGGCTAGTACCTGTGCAGGCCAACCTCACAGGGTCGGTCACTCAAGTGTCCCTTTCCATGGCTGCCAAGAAGCAGCACAGGTCCTTCTCACCCTCAAAATGTAACCAAATTTAAAGTGAAGACCTATATGCTTAGTTTGTGAACAGAGATAGTCTGGGGGTTGGGGAAAGAACCCGTAAATTATCTTCACTGCTCAAGAAGAGCAAGGAGATATTCGGCTGTCTGATAACGAGAGAACTGGGAAATGGTTTTTAACCAATCTTTTATACATATACACAATGAGGATTATATTGTTTCAAAGAACAATGAAAATTCCTCAGAAATGTAACACCAGGTCCTTCACAAAGACTGGTTTTAGTTTCAACAATTACTTCCTTTCTTAAATCTTCTTCTTTTAATCTAATAACTTTTCCAGGTTTTGAAGTAAAACACTAAAGCTCAAGAAGAATTAATAAATTTATAACTTCTTAAAGTATTCTGAACTTTTCAAACAGAGAGCAATTATTCAAATAAATCAAGAGCATCAATAAGCTAAATTTCTAAAATGATTGTGTGTGGATACATTTTTGTAAGTGTATGCAAACTTAGCCATATTTTAAAGGACAAAGCAGGCCGGCCAACATCTGTTGACATTTAAGGTAACTGTACAAAGCAATGTTCTAGCAACACTTTGGAACCCTCTAAAGCCATGAGGTACACAGGCAGCCGAAGTCCATAAAGGCTTCTCAGGCTCCAACAGCTTGGCTGAAAGGTTCTCTTCCATACTTGGAAACTTGATTAGCATTATATAAAAACGCCATATCTGACGTGCTGCGTAACCAAGGTTGTGGTTATTCTTTATACAGCATCTAAAATTTCACACTCCATCAACACATGTTCAGGCCATTTTATCTTGGCAATTAATTTATTATTTTTCAGAACACAGTGAAGCCTTGTTTTCAAGTCATTCATAACTTTATAAATCAGTCTTGCAAATGAAACCCAGGCATCTGTGAACCGTAGAAAATCCTTGCACTCAGGAGATTAAGCTCCTGACACCTATGCTGATTAATAATCATGGAAAGAATAAGATCAGAAACAAAATAAATGATCATTTAATAGAGAAACTCACAAAACAGCCCTTTAACTTACATATTCCATCATGTTGTTCGTTTCACATTTCCTTTTGCTCAGTCTCCAGTGCAAGCACAGCTAGACACGAAGGAGGGTAAAAGAAGAGAAATGAGCTTCGTTTTCCTGGGCACAAGGCTCACCCATTCGTCCACCTTCCTATTTGCAGTCCAACCAAGCATCTGTTTCCATACTGTGCAATTCAGACCCCAGCAGTCCGAAGCTGCTCCCCGCAGCACTCACCTTGTGGTATAACCTATTGTTTTCCCATTCTAATAACTTCTCAATCGATCTTCGTGTCTGGAAGAAAAATGAGGGGAAAGTTTACTCTTGACTGGCTTTAGAAAAGCTGTTTTGCAGCTGCTTTTTGTGTGAAAAGGGAAGAAGTATAAAATGATGACAAGCAAGAGTGGTCTGTACTCTCCATGTTCCAGCACTAAGGAGCAACCTCATCAGAGACAGTAGTTTGCAAAGAAACATCCATTTTCTTTGAAATATATATGCTTAATTTTTAAAGTATTTTGAATTTACTAGTCTCTGATTTAAAACTATTAGTCTAAAAAGCAAATGTCGCCAGGCGGTGGTGGTGCACGCCTTTAATCCCAACAGTCGGGAGGCAGAGCCAGGCGGATCTCTGTGAGTTCGAGGCCAGCCTGGGCTACCAAGTAAGTTCCAGGAAAGGCGCAAAGCTACAAAGAGAAACCCTGTCTCGAAAAACCAAAAAAAAAAAAAAAAAAAGCAAATGTCATTTCATTTACTTAATTTAAACTTAAATCCCCACTTCTTTAGGAAACATTTTGCAGTATTTAAATAGTAATGAAGATTCCTTAATCTCTATTTTTAAAACAGTAATAATTCAAATATTAGTTAGCAAAATACAAACAGCCTTTAGGGTATATCTAAAAAAAACTACTAATTGAAAGTTAGTAAAGGGGGGAAATGAGTTATAAATCAAACTAATTTGAGGATTGTATGAGAAAATTCAGTTTGATGGTTACTGTAGTTTTCAAACAGAGCCCAATTTTTATTGAAGGCAACATGAAAGTGGTATCTGAGAGTCAAATTCGATTCTTAATCCAGGGGTACCGACCGGCTCAGGGCCTCCCTCAGCTGCTGCAACGCAGACTATGCAGCATGGACCACTTCTCGCTTGGGAGTGTGGATGAGGCAGCTACTGCGTGGAGCCAGGTGTCAGGAGGAGACTACCACTGCAGGTGCAGAAGTGACAGTACTGCTACACGACCGACTGCAACCTGACGCAGCTGCAGCTTTCTTGCGAAGGAAGAAGGCGTCTACCAATACTAACTGTGGCACAACTGTAAATAAGTATTGATAATCACATAAAAACCTGCATGCCAACCAAGACTGGGTGAGGTGAAAAACTGGTAGGAACAAGCTGGTTTGGAAGTCTGTTACATAAAAAATGTTAGGATTTATTGAAAGTATCTACTGTAATCTGGTGTTACATTTCAGCAGGCTGAACTGCTATAAAGACACTCAAGTCACATAGGTGCCAATTATAATTCATAGCTAGCAACAAATTACCACGAGTGCTTATATTTTCCAATTTTATGTCATAAAAATCAGAAAATCAACTATTTTCTGGCAATAATATGTCAATGACTAATTTATTACAATTTTTGAACAGTCTTTTTGGCAAGAATTTTAAAGAAAAAGTGCCCTTGTTAGCGATGATCAGCAGCCCTCACTTGTTTCTTTGTAAGATAGCCTTTTAGAGGCAGCTCTCCTTTTAAATGAAAATAGGGCAGCAGTTATGGTCACACTTTTTGTTAATTTAGTTGCCAGTCAGCCCCAAATCAAAAGAAAATAAGGCTGCAGAGTGTAATTAACATTCAGTTCAGTCGTTTGCTCCCTTGTCTAGCCCCCAAGCTTTGTTAAAATTGCCATCTGAATGCTGAAGGCTGTAGGGAAATCGATTTGATTCTAATCGCACCATGAAAAGAACATGATCTAACTGCTTTCAGCCCTCCGTAAATCTGTACTAGGTCTTTAGCACAATGCAACTTCCAATTTAAAAAGCACTGAATGTCTCGTCAATGACTTTGTGAAGAAAAAAGAACAAGGAGCAGACATAAAAATTCCAATAGTTGTTTAAGCATTAGAGTTCATTTGCATCACAGCGAACCTGAAAAGGGCTGACCTCTCAAACCGCCTCTCAGGTCTATGAAGTTGTAGCCTTGACAAGCTCACATTGACAGAGCTCATTGACTCTGAAAGGCTACTCTATCAATGGTGAAAAATGGCAATAGGTTCTACTCTGAGCAGGCATCTGCCTGCCCACCCGCTGCTAAACCAATGGCAAAACCGTTTCAAAACCTGAATCCACCTTGTAATCTTCCTTTCTAGGACCTTTTAATAATAGATTAAGATTACTATACAATTTGAGGTTTTACTTGTACTGATGGTTTAAAAGAAGATGGGGAAAATTAAAGAACTAGGGTAGGGAGAAGTAGCTTTTGAAGTCTGTCGTTTTATATTAAAATGATATAAAAGTAGTTCCTAAAAACTTAACACTACATTCTGCAAATATTTATTATTCAAAGAAAAGAGTGGTTTTTACCATATCAAGTTTCCAGAATGTATAAGCCATGCTATATACAATGAGAATAGCTCATTATCATACATATGTGTGTGTATATATATATATATGCACACATACACATGGCATTTACCAACTTAAAAATATTTACTTTTACTTAAGTCAAATACCAACATTTGTGTAAAAGATAATTACAAAGTATGAACCTAAAATTCTAAAATACTTAAGTAGGAACTTCGAATTTATTCTTTGCTTCTAATTAGGAGTTCAGTGATAGTGTTGGGTATAATTGTATCCCGTAATATTAAGAATTCTAAAGCAAACAAAGTTTGCTATGCCATATTCTGTATAATCATCTGAATATTCACTATTTCTCCACGGTTGAAGGCTGAAGTAAAGCTGTGAATCAGTACCATCTAATCTTGCTAGAAGACGTCTCTCCTGCTTGACAGGTGGAAAAAAGGCACTTGCACGTGCAGCCTAATTAATCACTGCACTTGACATCTCAATGATTTACAGCGAGGAGCAGGTGAGAACACACAAAACCAGAAAGAACCCTTGATTTGAGGAGAACATTTCTAGCACACTAAGGTGACAAGTAAGTGATTCCGGCAATGATTCGAAAAAAGAAAAAAGAAAAAGAAAAGTAAAGAAAGAAACTGTGCCACAAATTATTTGTTAGTAACAACAAAAGATCAAATTAAATGGAAGAAAAAAGGCTTAACCATGGAGAATGTTTAATACTATGCAATTATTTTTCGTTCACAAAATCAAAATATATTTTCAAGATAAAGTACAATACCAATTTGGCAGATAGTGGGGGAAATATGACATTCCAGCATTATAAAAGCTATTTCAAAGCTTTTAAACTTCAGTGAGAAGAAAGCACATTTTAATTACAGTCATCTAGAAATAAAAGTTAAGTGTTTATGTCCACAGGGTTGTCAGATTCTAATGAAATATTAAAATTCAACACAGCCAAACCTAACATCTATTAACTGGACAAGCAAATCTAATCCTATAAATACCTGTCATTAAATTTTAAGTGATTATACTGCCTTGCAAATTCAAAATATTCTAAGTTAATAGGATCAGAAAAAACATACATATCAAACATGACATACCAACAAAACAGTATCCTTCTAGGCCACTTTCTAAAAATAAGTCATATTATCTTTCTTAAAAGAATTTAGTGCTTGAGAAAAATACCAGATTGACAGTCATGGGAACTAAAAAATCTTCTGTTTCGCTTAAAGAACAGGAGAAAGGGAATGCAGCTTCAGTAAGTTCCCTACAGAGGGCCTTAATCCTTTTCAGTACTCACATGCTGGGGTGGAAAGACAGGTTAGTGGTTCTTTACCAATGAATCCTCAGTCCTGCCTAGGCTATCAGCAAGAAACCTACTTTTATCACATGGAGTCTTGAATTAGAAGAACCAAGACTACCAACTTACACCGTGTAAGCAAAACACGGCTTTGTGAGATGCTATCACGAAGTGAACCTGGATTAGAAAGGCAGCTCCCAGCACTATACCTCAGCAACCTTCCTCATCAAAGCTCATTATGAATGACAATGTTTTAAACAATAATATTAACATATTTTTCATTACAACATCTTTAGTTATATTCTTGCTGCCAGCTAGTTCTAATATAATTGCTTTATTAGAGTGAATAAAATTAAAAAACATTTCAATTACTGAACAGGCAGCATAGACTTAAACTAAGCATTTGTGTTTACTTTTATCTTCTTTGACACAATTTTTTGATAAAATCGTGGAAGAGTCAGAACAAAAAAAAGACAAGGAAAATTAAAACATTAGAATTCATAAAATTCTAATGGCTAAAGGATGATTAGTCAACAATTAATAGTAAACATGGCATACAGTTATAACTTCTTAAAGAAGAATCGAGAAGTAAAGTAAGCTTAAAACAGAAAACATAAACCACCAAAATCTTAACTACTCAAATGTAAAAGTTAGACTTCATCAACATTAAAATCTGATTTCCTCTAAGGCCTCTGTGTAACTGTAAGGAATAAAGTATTAATCCCATACACAAGTTCACATTATGAGCCACCAAACATCAACGAATCTCACAGGACATAGAGTCAGTTATAGCATCTTGATTTGTTACCACCATTACTTAAAATTCATCACTAGTGGTTAATTTATTCACAATCAGTTGTTTGAAACAATGGTTTTTCAAATTTTTACAACCATTTACTAAAGTTCAACAACTTAAACCTGCAATTAAAACTTACTTGAACTGGATTTGTTCATTGTATTAAGCAATGTCAAGGCAAATTTCAAATGTTCAATTTCTTATTTAAAACATTTTGAAATTCAAACTGCTAAATTTGTAATCTGTCAATTAAAATTTAACTAGAATAATACCACTAGTGCATTGATTATTTTTAACCCTTGTGTGTTTTTCAAATAAGGATTCATCCTTTCTTATTTATACAAATGGAACTTATGGAAATAAGTGAAACAATAACGGTTTTGAGGCTACTAGAAAGAAACTGTATAATTTAGAAAGAATTACTTTTAACTTAAGAGAAAATTACTTGAATCACTTCCATTTGTTCTGAATTAATGTTAAATCTCACATTCCAGTGGTGAGCTGAAAATTAAGTATATCTCAGTATCATTACAAATACAAAGCCTACAATTTGCCAAGATAAACCAAAATATGAATTGATTCCTTAAAAGGAGTTGTAAACAAATTTCCTTCCGGTATGT